GGTATATTTAATTGGTCTCATTATTCGTTCGGTACCGCACTGGGTCTTGTTCGCCACTAAAGCATCGATTCCTTCGGACTCGCCCTAAGGTCTCGACTTGCGTGACATTAGCATATCAGCGGTGCAGAGTCTCGGGCAAGTCTCCCCGGTAGCCAACACGCACTATTTAACCGGAAGAGGTAACACTGTACGACAGTACTACATGTACATCTACTATACCTTGATGGAGTGAGGAGAAAAACAATGGGACAATCCGGTGTTTTAGACAGGAAAATCCTCTACCAAAACTTTGATACCCGACCGTCTTGAAAAAAAAATGGCCTCTTTTACTTTTAGTGGATTTTCATGTTTGACTGCATCTGGATCGTGAAGCAGTCACTTCATTAAATCTTAATGTTTGCCTAAACAATGACATTGGTCATATCTGAAGGTCCGTCACCATCGAGAAGATTTGGAATGGGCTATGCGTCAGTGAAGAAGTGGTCAATCCCTTTGGCGTGCACCACCCAAACCCAATTTCATGGGAAATTCTCCGCCAGGCCGTGGCGATCAAAAAGTACCCCTAGAAATTTCTTCGAAAAGAGGGGTCTGTGTGGGCCAAGAAATTGTGGTATTGTGTAAGTATGGACCAGGATCATCTCTGTGGATTCAAGGGCACACATCTGGGGCAAGGCATAGATAGAAATGTGACTGAAAATTTGTCAGGAGAGCCTGAGAAAGATAGGAATGTCATTTGAAAAATGGCTGCTGAGAAGACGTGGGAACATTCACTTTTGGGGGAGTGAGTTTGTTTTTGCATATAATCAAAAATTAATTGGTTAACCTACCAAAAATTGAAAATCAAATGAAATCTAAGGGACCAAAGAACACATTGTTTTTTTAATTGAGAGGCCTCAGGGACTTCAGTTGCCTGCCATGGGTCTCCAAACTTTGTTAAGTTGATTTTACAACTGTTCAATGGAACTTGAATTAGTTCAGTGCACCCTTTGCGGGCTACCCAAATTTAGGTGGTTTATATTAGAACACCTGAGTGGGTCGACGGAGCAACCACAATGCCAAGGTGAAATCTGCTGTGTCCCATCTTCTCGACTACGAGGTGACAGAAATAAGAAGCCTGCAGGAGTCGTAGGCTATATGTGATAATCATCTTTAAAGGTGGAGCAATGGAACATGTCATGTGGAGTCGGATCGCCGATCCGAAGGAGGCAGCCTGTGGCATAGATGTTGCGACGTCTTGGGCGTGCAGACGCTCCACTTTCAGACACTCAGCCAGCCACTCGCGTACCTAATTTTAATTTCGCGAATAATTTGGTGCAGTGGTGAACGTCTCTCGTGAACTGGGCCTGCAGGGCTTGCAAGAGTGGGAACCAGCGATGCAGTGTGAGCCCCTTCCCGTTTGAAATTGTGACTTGTATATAACCTATACGTGCACCAGCCAAAGTTAATTTGCTTTTCCGTACCCACTCGGGAAAAAAACTACATGCACCTCCTTCTGCCTCTCAGAAATTTCATCGTATAGTTTGGCCGCTGCATGCGTGCCAGAGTTGTTCTCTGTTTTCCTTTGAAGGGGTGAGACATAAGCTAAGTAAACGTCATGCTGAAGTTCTGCATTCTTTGTAGGGAGGAGGACTTGAGATCAATGATATCATGACACCCCGTGGGTGTCTGTATAGTCATCACAGTGTCGACATCCACTTTTGCAGGTGAGGTCTTGAACGACATCTTCCTGCTGGGGTTTACCAAGACAATTCAACCCAGTGACGGGCTTCTGCTGGGCACTGAGCTGGGATTCCAAGATTCCGACTTGAAACGTTTTGAGAAGGATTATCAGGGTGACTCCCACCGACAGATTTACCAGATGCTGATTGCGTGGCGTAAACGAACGGCGGGGGACGGCCTGTCTAAAGTCAGGCAGCTGGGCGAGGCTCTGGCCAATGACCGTGTCGGACTTGCTGAACTGAGGGATAAATTATTCCTTGAATACGGTATGTATATCAGTTACTGTTCTGGAGTGACCCATCACCCCCTATGGTCCTCCTCGGGAAAATCGCGTCAGTGTACATGAAGCCTAATGATGACTGACATTACGCAAGATGTAGACAGTATCAGAAGAGACAGCTTTTTTACGTCATTTGACAAAAAAAACACCTCCGAAATTAACCGGCGTCGCGTCCAAAACTCCGAGCATTTTCGTATTATCATAAAGCGTTTCTGGTGATGAAAGCGAGGACTCCTCAGGAGCGCCAGAGGTTCATTAGCTCACAAGCCAGAAAGAACCTATACAGGACAGAGGAAATCGAGTAGCAGTTATAGTTTTTATAAAGTGGTCCGTGGAGGGGAAACCCCAGAGGAATATCCTGGGTAAACCCCACGGAATCAGATAAGGAGTGAGAAACCTATCTACATGTAGACTGAACTGGGAATCCAACCTGGACTTTGGAAGTGAAAGGCGAGGAGAGATGCAAAGTATGCCAACCCGATTCCCAGAAATTGAATATATTCGTAGGTAGTTATGACACTGTGCACCTCTAATTGGGAGCTAAGGTGGTTCTTCAGTTCTATGCATTTCATCCATAGTCGGCCGTTTCGTTGACACTTCGGGTATCGTTTTCTTAGTCACGAGGAGAAAACTGGAACCAATAATGTTTAGTAGTCAAGCAAGAGGGGCATCGTTGTACGCCCCTCATGCCGGCGTGCACGTTTACACGGGACAACTCTGACAACACGCAAGTCGGCAAAATGGAAATGATCCAACTCTCACAATGATTGCTCATCATGCTCCGCGCCTTTTCTAGTCGACAGTCAAACTACTAGCCTCTATCAGTGCACCCTTTTGTTGAGTAAACACTGGCGGTTTGAATCTTCCAAAAATTGAAAATTCCATAACAGAGGCTTAACATTTAACAGCTAAAAACATGTTGCTTCAGTAAAAGATCAAATTGGCTTTTTCTGTTTCCTACGATACGTTAAGAAATCGCACCGCAGCCAAGCACAAGTGAATTGCTTAGGACAATGCGTTCCTCCGGGAAGTGGCTTTCATTTTATACAAAAATGAAATTAATTTTCCTCCTGAAGGGCCTCGTTGTAAAGTGTAATAAGTTTAGTACGGCCACTATAACCGATCGCATTAGGCTACTGTAAGCATCTTTGCTCCTTGGTCGAAACTTTTGACGTACACATTTTCATTTCTCTGAAAATACGCGAAAGCGTATGCATACTTAATAGCACGCAACAGAAATTAACATGGCAAGTATGCCACATCAAGGATAGGAGCCGGCGGAAAACTACTGGTATCCGGCCATAGCTTTTGGGTACATGTATCATCCTTCGTGCCTGTATGAGACAAGTACGGAATTAGTGAATCGCCTGACCACCATTATGGTTTCCCACAATCTTACTCCATTCAGCCGTACCATGCCAGCCATTATATCCAAATCCCGTTACAAATGTTTGCCGCGTACTTCGAACGAGTTTTGTTCAACTTATGAGAATTTGCAGGCCAGATAGGGGCCTATTTTATCCGACGTCACACGATCGCCTTAATGAATTGATTGTTAATGATCACATTTTGTTGGATGACCGCTGTAATGTGTTGGCGTATTGCTAACCTTATAGTTTGCCACATTTCTACCCATGATACTGGTAACAAAAAGGGCCGCCTCCAATTTAAATTCTTTGTGCTTCAAAACGTGCAAAGGGAAATGTTTCCATGCATTTTTCTTTAATGCAATCATGCAACGACCGAAAAAACTGATAATTTAAAGCGTTTTACTTTGACATGTAGCGAGCAAAATGGCATAATGCAAGAGTATAATGTTGGACAACGACATTACTGGTTCACTAACCATAGCACGCTGGGTATTTTGGATAAGTCATGATCAAAGGCTAAATTGGCTATTTCACGGTTGTCTAAACCACAAAGGCGTTTTGTTTGTTTTATTTTTACCGAATGGAAAGCCGTGCCGAAGCTCATCCAACAGAATGGAAAATAACTCATACCATATTAAAATGTACCCTAATGCCTTGTTTCTCAGGTATAAGTGATTCTAAGCCAGACAAGCAGGTCACCAGCACAAACACCCAAGAGACCCCAAATGAGTTTTAAAAGCTTGTGAGTTCCCTTCGCTACCTCAAAAGTGAGCTGTTAAGTCAATTATGCACATTTACTGGTACTGCACACCGACCATCTATATGTCTTGCCTCACAGGTATAAGCGACTCCAAGCCTGACAAAAAAGACGCCGAAGGAAGCTCCCCGGATACCTCTGGTGAGCCTGGTGAGTTTAAAAAGCTTGTGAACTCCCTTCGCAAACTCAAAATTGACTGTTGAGTTACCGCGTACCGACCATCTATGCAACCACTGCCGCCGATTCCGATTTTGAATGGTTTATTTTTCATTGACGAGTGACATCAACTTTCTGTTAAATTAAACGTTAATTAGCTCCAATGGACTCGCCAAAAGAGGCCGCTCCCTCTTCCCAGGGTTTTAATTAATATCAGAACCACTGACCGTCATGTAGCATAACCTTAAAACTTTCCCTCAGCATGTGATGCATAGGGCATCTATATTTATTCCGTTTGTGATTCCCATTACTAGTTATCACACGAGCGCGAGTAGAGCACAGAATAATGTAGTCGGTATGTGCGAAGCAGAATTCGGGACAAAAAAATTGGAACATGTTTTTGCAAAACGGAATGCCGTTTTTCCAAATCGATCGTATTTTAAAAGTCGAATGTATTTTTTAAAAGGAATGTAATTTTAAAAAGACCGTATCTTTCACTTCTGGAATGCATTTTTTAAAAACCGAACGATTCTAAAAAGACATGTTTTTTTTAGATTCGAATGAATTTTTAAAGAGCTGATGAATTTGCACAGTGAAAACATAGTTTCTGGATTGGAATAAATTTGTAAAGAGTGAACATGTTTTCAAAATTTCAATAAGATTTTCAAATCCAACATTTTGTCAAGATTGGAACGATATTTTTTAAGTGCAAACATTTTTAAGATTGGAAAATAATCGTTGACTCCGGATATATTTAAAAGAAAACCCTTTTTTTCCAACGTAAAGCTGTCATTCTGCGCACGCATTTTAGTCAAGTCTGTCATGTCATTCTGCTTCGTAGTATATGTATAGAGTATACTATACCATGAGGCCTCGGAGGTGGTAGTTACTGCCACTTTGCATAACTTTTGATAACGCCGAGTTCTTAAAACTAACGGATCTGCACGAGCTGCATGCAGTACGTCATGCCAAAGTTTTGTCACGTCAAATTTTGGGCCTGTGATGGCTTCTGGATGTACAACTTATGCGCGTCGGTGGAATTGCGAAATGTCTGTTCCAGAAACCAGACAATTTCGAAAACTGTACCATTATGGGAGCTTCGGTAAAGTGGTGCGATGCAGTTACAACTTTAACCAGGCCCATAGATGTGGCAATGGAACCGTTGGAAGTTGTGCAAAACGTACCGCAGGTTTATTAGTTAATATACTGAGCTTTCGTAAGGCCAAAAAATGTCTCCGGTTTCTGGTCGGGGGCCGGTTCCAAAAGTGTTGCGGCGACGCAGCTTTTTTTTTTTAGCCCTCGCTTTTTTCCTAGAAATAATACACACATGTGCTTGCAGGTATGTACTGCTACCAACAGGGAAATAGACTGGTCCCCTCTCTATTGACTGTTTAAAAGCGTTTTCGGCTTATAGATGTACACAGGACATAAGATCCCCTTTTTGGTTCCCAGATGTAAATGTATACAATACAGAAATGGCGTCATCTGAAAAACATTGCCTCACTAAGTGTTAGGATGGTACCGTTGATGTTCGGTTATTCCCGGCCGGGTAGGTAGGTTAGCTGTTGAACGTAAACTCCCGTATCCTAAAGGCGGCTGTCAATCCTACAATATTTGACTTTACACTGAAATCGAAGGTCTCCTTAGCTGAAATCAATATCAGGCGAAATGCCCACACATACAGGGTGCCCACTGTATTATGAAACCCGGGCTCTCAACTTGTGACCCCTGACCCTTGCGTCATATTTATTTATAACCGTGGGCGATGCCTGGCCTGAGATTTCATTATCAAGAGTTGTCAGGGAATCTTTGCGCAGTAAACCAGACTAAATATACCGGTGATTCAGGTGACGTGGGTGAAGTGCGGCCCTGGATCCCATGGGATTTTTCGGAGTGTCATCCCCAGACAATACTGAGAAATATGATGAAGGGGCGGGGAAGCAAAAGAAAAGAAAAACGAGAGATAAATAAAAAAATTGCCTCCTCCCACTCTTAATGCTTTATCATTTCATTACTGGTGAGTGCTATGCCTCTCCCAGAAATTTTCCTCCCTGGAAAAAGTGTTCCCGCCGGAAAATCCTGATAGCACCCATCTAACGCGTCTTCGGAAAGGACTTTCAAATAGTATGTTATGTTTAATTTCAAAATGGCATGATTGTGTAAATGCCATTTAGTGCCATTTTTTTCTATTTAAATGAAGGACGATTTATGATAAAAATTTGGATCGCCTTTATCACAGTATACAGCACAATTTTTAAGTGTTTGCATCGCCCTTTTCTCCACTACAGCGTTGGACGAACTCTACATGGATGCGTTGTCCAGGAAAATTAAACCGAAGAACCGATACCCACTGGGCCTGCAACTGCGATTCAAGGGTGCTGAACTGGACACCTACAGTGATGATTACAGAGCAAACGTTCAGCTTCAGATCTACCACATGCTAGTGGACTGGCTCAATAACGAAAAAGGGGACGTAAGATCCAAAGTTAAAAAGCTAGCGGATTGTCTTGGGAATAAAAGCGTCGGTCGTAGTGACCTAAGCCAAGAATTGCTGAAAGACTTTAATATCAATGATTAATTTATCTGTCTGATTTTGATAAAAGAACAATTGTCAAGTCACAAAAGAGATGTGACCATTGTTGTTGCAAAAATCAGTTCATGTACATGTAACTGTTAAACGTCCTTAAAACGTTCTTAATTAATGTTACCCAGCAGATACGCAAACTGGTTCCCGGTGTACAGAGCCGGCTATTGTGAGTGTAAAGCTGCCCGTTCGAGGCTCTCTTAGCCTATGATGGCAGCGTGCAAAGAGCGGATTTGGAAGCATTGTGAACTACTTAGCCAAGAACCTCCACTCAAACCTTGACAATATGCTCCTGATAATGGCTTCATTTCAGTCTAGGGGCCCCGTTTACAGAGCACACGCCCACGATAACAGAAAGCGGTGATATCGTACAACATTTTACGTTTACACAGGAGCGGAAAAGTTTATAAAGGAATCTTCCACAAATTCTTAGTTGGGTGTAATGGATGGAGACCGTTCAATTTTAAACGTAGGGGAGCAATGATCGTTTGAAGTTTCCATTTTGCTACCTTCCGGGGAACCGCGAATGCTATCAAATTAAAAACAAATTCCGTTGGTTGGCTAGTAAATTAAGTTTTTTGAAAACAGATGTCCCACCTTCAAAATCCACAACAATCTACCAATAGAAAATGTTAAAAGATTGGGATGTCCACGTTGGGTTGCAAAATAATGCAGAGGCGGAAACAATTGGTTAAGCCGCATAATACCCTCGGTCGTTATCCTCTCAGTTGCTCTTGTCTTTTTTCAAAGCAGCGACCATGCAGCTTGTCCACTCGGTTTGATAGAAACCACGTAGAATTCCGTTACCGGGCACTAGTGTTAACAGGCCTTTAGTGGGCCGAAAAAGTTGTTTTGCGATTCGATTCGTGGAATCTGTGATATAGGTGTGGGAAAGTCCACGTTTTTGAAATTTAAACCGTCTGCTGTCGTGAACGTTGAGGTGCATTCGTTGTTTATTTTTTTAATTAGGGTTTGTGGCTAGCTAATGCTTGACGGTGTCTGAATATAAGCCTAATGCAGCTCTTAACGCTCAGCGAATGCATTGTTGGTCTTGCTTGTTTTGGACGTTGATGATAGCTTTTTTGTCTGTCAGTTCTTTGGGAAGTGGAATGGATGTCACTCCTACTGGATTATAACGCGCCACGTTGATGTAAAACACGACGACTTTGTCAAATACTCATCCAGAGCCTCGTTATTCGTGTGCTTCGACGTCTTCAAAATGTTTTGCTATTTGGTCCTTCCACCCGTTTTTGACCTCACGTTCAGAAATCACCGTGTTGTTTTTACTTGTAAACGTGAAAACGCTGACCTTGCTTTCAACTCCGGGTTTTTGTTATTTGCACTGGACTTTAATAACAGTTTGTAATTTGTAAGAGGCTATCTCTTGAAACTCGGCCAACGCTTTATTTTCGATGTACTTGTTGTAAAAATCGAAAAAGTGTACCAGGTCGTCGGCAAAGAAACCAGGCTTCACTTCCCAGTTTCTGTAGTTACCTTGAAAGCGTCTGATGTTTCGGATTTCTACCTCTTCAATCGCTTTCGGTTGAGTGTCGGCTTAAATGGTGGTAATGAGGTCTTTTGGCAGTACGTTACCCTTTGCACCCGTAGCTGTAAAGGGTATGTCATTGTCCCGCACCACCTGTAAAAGCTGACGATATGATTGTCGTGCGAGATTTTTAAACGACTGTTGACTCGCGCGCTTTACTCGCTCGTATTAATTCACGCTTCGTGTGTTGTTTGCATTTAGCTGGTGGAGGTAATGGAATGTTATGTTGTTTGACAAAGTTGGATAAAAAATATTTTTTAATTCTATTAAAGCCCAATAACACAGGGCGACGTTGTGATTTTGTTTGAGCTTCTCTATTCATGTTCTCATTTATTTATAGGGACTCAAAATTTATTTCACTTTTCTTGAAGCCCGGAGTCAGGGAGAGTGAGACCGGCTTTTTTCATTTTCAAAAAGAAACTAGGAAAGCTGAGGTTTTGCTTGAGAAGGAGATAAATATTTTGTCTGATAACGTTTCTGAGGGTGATCTTGATTCAGTTGATCTTTTAAATGTTAAGCAAGCAGACTTTGTTGACTTTCGCAAAACTTAAAGGGAAGATGTTTTAAAAAGATCCAAATCCCGATGGATGTAGTATGGTGAAAAATCTTCAAAGTATTTTTAAAATTTAGAAAAGCAGAATTTGTGAATAAATCTATTAACTGCATTATTAATGATGCCAACTGTAGAATTACTAGTTCCAAAGACATCCTGCAAGAGGCTAAGAGCTTTTATCAAAAACTTTACTCTACTCAGATTATTGACAGTAACGTTGATCTCAAGTCACTTTTCGCAGCGACTGGTAAAAGTATTCTTTCCGATTGTGTACGAGATAGCATTGAAGGCCCTTTATCTCATGACGAACTTATTCATGTATTAAAAAAGCAAAGAATGGCAAGTCTCTGGGTAATTTTATAATTATTTCGCTTCAGACTTGTCGTGGTACTTACTACGCTCATTAAACAGGGGTAATGTCTCTGGTCAACTCTCTGTTACTCAGAGATACGGTATAATCACTCTTTTGCCGAAAGGGGACAAGCCCTCGACAATATTTGAAAAATTGGCGGCCCATTTCTCATCTAAACACCTCGTACAAAATTGCCTCTTCCTGCATTGCAGAGAGACTTAAATGTTGTCTTAAGTGTATTGTTCATGAAAGATAGAAGGGTTTTATGGCACATCGTTTTATTGGGGAAAATATTCAATTAATGTACGACTTGTTGAATGTCACTGAATCTAATAATATTCCTGGTCTATTTCTGTCTATTGATTTTTTAAAAGCATTCGATTCCACATCACATAATTTCATTTTTTAAGTTCTAGACGTATTCAATTTTGGCCCTTCTGTTGAAAAGTGGATTAAGGTACTTTATAACCAAACCTCCTCTTTAGTTCTAGTGAACGGGTTCCTTTCTCAGTCGTTTAAAATTGGGAGAGGTTGTAGACAGGGGGAGGGCTTAAGTCCGTATCTGTTCCTTTTGTGTGCAGAGATTTTTATCAATGATGGTATGCACTGACAGAGATCTTCAAGGCATTTATGTTGAGGGAATTATCCCATCATGCTGACGACACGGTTTTGTTCTTGAATGGCTCAGCGAAGTCAATGCAGGCTACTTTCAGAATTCTTGACCAATTTGCTGGTATGTCTGGTTTAAAGGTTACCATTGAGAAGACAAATGCCATTTGGATTGGGTCAATGAAAGAAATTGAGGAAAAGCGTTGTGAAGAGACCAGCGTCAACTGGGTCGCGGCTAAGCAACCTTTTAGAATTCTTGGTATTGACTTCTCCACTGGTCTTAACTCTATGATTCGCTGAATTACAATAGGATTATCCCGTCCTTACGTGGCCCAATGTTTAATTGGTCAAAGAGATATTTAACAGTTTTGGGCAAAATTGCTGTAGTTAAATCATTGCTTATGTCAAACTTATCTACCTTGTGTTAACCATTCCTGATCCTCCCTTTGATATGATTAAGGAAATAAATAGTCTGTTTTTTCTTTTTTTTTTTGTCTTTTTTATTTGGAAAGTACACGACCAAGTGGCCAGAAACCAAATTATCCAAGATTATGGTCGGGGTGAGTTGCGAATGGTTGAGGTTCGGACTTATTTAGAAGCTCTGAAAGTTACCTGGTTACGTAGACTCCTTAAAGCTCAGCCCTCAGGTTGGTCTACTTTGTGCAACTGGATTTTTGATATCTCCCGATTGTCCTTATTGGAAGGTGGTTCAATTAAATCGATTGGTGCCTGGAGAGTTCGTAATGCCTCCTTGTTCGATGTGTTTTACAGCATGGTCTAACTTTACTCGGGCCCATTTGCCTACAAGAAAGCGGAGGTATTGAGGAGTTCTCTTTGGTTCAATGATAAAATTAAGATTAATGGCAGATGTATTTTTTTATAAACATTGGTCGAGTAAAGGTGTTAAGTTTATTGGTGATTTAATAAATGAGAATTGCGCTTTTCCTTCTCTAGATGAGTTCTAGAATGTATTTGATGTCAACACCAACTTTTTACAGTATGGTGGAGTGTTGAGAACAATTAAGTTGTCCTTTAGAGAAATCATGTCGGAAATTTCAGTTAGTTACTTCCAATTTTTGCCGTTCAACTTTGAAGTGCTTTTAAAGGACCAATAAGGATCAAAGGGGATCTATAATGTTTTAGTGTCTTCTAAACATATGCAAAGAAAATTCATAGATAAGTGGAATGTTAAACTGAATATAGATTTTGATATTTCAAAATGGTCTTTAATTTTCAATATTCCATATTCTTGTACAGTTGACACGAAACTACGTTGGTTCCTATTTAGATAAATACACCCGATCCTGGGAGCTAATTTATTTTTGTATAAGATTGGTAAGGCAGACACCGATCTTTGTACATTCTGTAACGTGGAAGAGGAGACACTTATCCATCTTTTTTGCTCGTGTCCCTACACTATCTCTTTCTGGTCCTCGGTATTTCTTTGGATTAAAGAGAAGACCAATCCGTCTAGAGCAATGGATAATAACGTCTTTTTATTTGGCAACACCAATGTTACACGTAATAGTAAAGTGGTTAATTTAATATTGTTAATCTGTAGATTCCATGTGTACAAAAATGAACGAAAAACGACCCTCACTTTCTGTTTTAAAGAAAGGATGTGAAGAATTATTATTTGATGGAAAAACTGAGAGAGCAATCCGCCCTTACGTCGACCAGAAGCTCCTATCAGGAACTATATTTACCGCACCACCAATTAGCCACTCAACCCACCGAGCCCCTCAACGCGATGGCACACGCGCCACTCGGGACTTGGGCACAGTCAAACAGAAGGATTGACTCAGGACGACTAAATCTTGCCTTCGCGCCCGTCAGGGGCGAGCTGACCGCTGCTGCAACTACGCTTGCGCGCGCTACATATCTGACTAGGCAGTGACTTTAACCAATCGCCCGACAACCAAGGCGGAGCCTACGCGCCGCGCTTGCTTAACACACAGCTATGCGCCCAACCTGGTACCCATGGTTCCCAACGATCTTGCCAAACTATGTTTGCTCCCACAATGCCTAGCCCGATCTAATTTAAATATCCTACTGTAGGGAAAAGACCAAAAACAAAGCCCAGATCTCAAATATCGCAATGTACCTAAATTATCTGTTTCACACCAAGGCAAAGGAAGTTGTTTACATTCGGGGGCACTGTTCCATTTTACTGGTCCTTCCGCCACTTAACGAATCCGTCATCCGTCAAGAGAAAAAGTTCATGCAGAATTAAATAATAGGCTCTTTCCACGTACTTTATTATATTGTAGGGTTTTCGGTAATCACAGTAAGTATAACAGCTAAAACGGTGTGTTTTGATTTTATGTCTTTAGTTTGTGAGTGTTCATTATGGGGAATGATCAAAAATTATGCGCAATGTAATACTGAACAAGGAGTATTGTGAGGGGCTTCCCGGGATTTCTTGGAGTCACATTGCTGAGCCCTAAGGCTGTCACGAGCCGAGCTGCATTGTTGCCGTCTGTTGCAAGGTTTGTGCGGGCCCGGCCTAGAGGAAGAGAGTTCTGTCAGAGACCGGGGAAACTTCTGGTAGGCCCTTGGGCACTGGCTGGTATGAAACGTTATTGATTACATGTCTTTTTACTTGTTTTGTGGAGAGAAATTGTGAATCATAATGTCAGCGTTAAGGGTTGTACACGAGGTGATATAGTTAGAACATGTACATGTAACATAATTGATATGCACATTCGTGTGCATGTGCTTGTTTAACTTAAACTGTCCCACACGTTTGAATTGAAATATAATGTACAATCAATTTTTAGAATGGAAAGATCGTTATGTGCATTTTGTAAAAGAGATTTATTTCATTTGTTGTCCATACAGGTTATTTTGACACTTGGCAATCGATGGCAACACCCAAACCTCTCCACGAATATCTTGCCTCTTTAATGAGTCTACTACACTACTATTTGGGATACTTAAATTAGGACTTTGGTCAGTGTCTGTACGGGCGACGCATAATACGTGACGTACAAGAGAATATGTACGTGGGCGCGCGAGCGCGCAGCGTTTAAAATACGCACGCGACTGGCTTTATGTTCATATATTCATCCTAAATAGCTAATCAGCGCCATTTTTTTATTCAACACAACCAGGAGCTTGTGAAGGAACGCTCACACAGCCCATAGCGTCGAGGATGATGTACGCCCAACACATGACCTTGTTACTGCGCACCGCGCCTAGTGACTAGCGCCCTCAGCCACTTTACAATATTCAACTTCGTATACTGCAGTGCTCAACATTTTAAGGATGTAGACTACCAGCGAAAAATTGCAGCGATGATCACAGGGTAAAAAAGGGGCTTATGGGTGTGTAACAGGTGGTGAGTAGTAAGCATTCACTGCGCCCCGGCTGTGGACGTATCGGACATGCCAAAAAGCGGTAATTGGCCAAATGTCATAGCCTGGACAGTTCAAACTCCTTCTGTGTCCTTCCTACATGGTAAAGTATCAGTGTAAACAAACCTTTTACATCTCTACAAGTATACATGTATTTTATTGAGATTTGAAACGTTAGTCATTATAGTGTTACAGCTAAAACCACTAAATTCTTGTTCTTAATAAAGTGATTTTAATCAAGCCTATTAATGTCATTGCTCTGTGGGGCCGGATCACAAACAAAATGAAACTGCTTTTGCACATAAAGCAAGGTAAATACCAGCATTTTGTACCTACACATGTAGCATGCAAAATAAATGCATGTACCTGGTTAATGGCATGTTTCTCTCTCATTTGCCATTTGATGCATGTATAAGTGCCCTATTAACAAATTTTTGTAAACTCCATTTTTGTCAAAATTTAGAGTTTGGTTGAAAACCTGGTAAGCCTATGCACTTTATCCTTGGTATATTATGTGTACCTACCTGTCTCCGAAGGAAGTGTTTTCTCTGGTAGGTACATGCATTTTACCAACGCTAAGACATGGTGGTTTGTGAATTTAATCAAATTACTTGATTTAAATTTCTGAATTTAAGTCAAAATTTGTTTAATTTTGTCACAAAACAAATAAATAAAAGAAAACTATTACACATGCAGCTAATTTGCTTGTTTTTGAATGGACATTTGAGCCAACTTGTCTCACATTTTTAAAGAATAAAAAAGTGCGATTTTTTATTTAAAGGAAAAAATCAACAACCCTGCCATTTACAGGGCTAGTGTCATGGAGGTCAATTGGTGGGGACAGGGGGGGAATGTGCCCACTATTCCAAGTGGGGGATACTGTATCAATTGTCCCCCCAAACACACACACTCACACACTTTTTTCCAAAACCTAACTGAAAATGTTTACCCCAATACTAAAGCATTTATTTGAAAAAAAAAGGGCTAAAATAGCCACAAATTGTCTTAGATCACATCACAGAGTATCTATATACTACAAATTTTTTCAGACCTAACGCTGTTTGTGCTCAGGGCTTCAGGCTTTGCACTCGCATTTCTTCTGATCAGGGCCATTTGTCCCCCGCCCCACTTTTAAAAATGGATTGACCCCCTTGGCTGGTGTTGGTACTGAACCCAGCTTTTCCACCTAACAAATCATGTAGGAAAACTGACTAGGTGCTCATCTCTCGGGGCGGCAAGGCCAAAAACCAAAGGATGTTGTCTCCGCGTGGAGATTCTAATCACCGGTCAGTTCCCAGTCTTGCCTGAACCTTTACGACTGTTTTACGGTAGCTAATACATCCCCCAGGTCCCCTCTAACTACGTTTCATTATGCTGCTGTGGAAGTATAATTAGTACCAGGTCACAACCCAAACAGCTGCGACCAGTCAGCGCATGTCTGCAAACAAAGGAGCAGCCACGCCCACAAAATCACACCGTTACTCCAGTCAGTGATTTTTGTCTCCAGGTCAGTTCCCGGTCATGCCTGAACCTGTACAGCTGTTTTATGGCATCCCCGAGGTCCCCTCTGACTACATTACATTATTCAGCTGTGGAAGTATAAGCCACAACCCAAACGTATGTCTGTCATCAAAAAGATCTGGTTTCTGATAGCGACCATATGGGCTCCTTGGGGTGGCTGATCTTTCAAGAATAACTCGGCAGTGTTTGGGGTCTAGCCAGTGGGAGGTTACAGGTGTACGCCTGAGGTGAGGATTACAAAAAAAATCGTTGACAAGTTGGCCCATTGGAGAAAAAGTTATGACCACATTGGTGATATGTGTCGACTGTATCCCCGCTCCGTTGACCCCAGGGTTATGAATGATTATAAAGATGAACAAAGAAATTGACTGGAGCGGGATTTGGGGTGTGATCTCTGGCTACATGGCGTTTCAGTGTATTTGGTTTAATGGCGTCTGGCTAGCGCCAGAGATATTGACACATGGGGAGAGCCACCAACATAGGGTTAGGTAGCTTAGTTGGTAGAGCACTGGTACAGTATTCCAGAGGCCGTAGTTTCAAGTCCCACTCCAGTCAATTTCTTTGATCATCTTTAAAAAATGTGATTAATAGAAGCGACCATTTTAAGGTCCTTACTATAGTTGGGACTGATGCTAATTGCTAATATCGATTGGTATGTTAAATGTAAGGCATGGTAGGCCTACACATCACTCATTAGTACACTGTTACATCAAGCAAGTCGTTGGTCGGTCGGCTCTTAAAAATGTCTAACTGCCAAATTGATAAGAAATTTCACATTTTCTTCGTTGGCTGCCATGACGTGCATGATGTACAAGTTAAAATTTATGTTATTTCTTAAAATTTAGCTATTGCATTGGCTGTTTATGTCGGTTTCAAGGTTTACTTTACACTGAGTTTAAGCGCAAAATGTACGGAAGCGTATATAGGACATGACTTGAAAAAAACTTGGCCTGCTATTTCGCCCGGGTGGATTAGTATCCCGGGAGACTGGGCTATATATATCGCTCACTTTTTGCAGGGGATGGATCATCCCCCACTTTTTCGAAAAAAGAAAAAATAGGGATTTTGAGTACTTTTTATATTAAAAATCAATTCAATTGCAAAGTTTCTCACGAGGTGTGCCCAGAGTTTGCTAGTGGGGGGAAGCCACAGGGTGGGGTTGGGGGAGGGGTGGGGAATTTATTTTTTCCCCTACAAACCACAGTCCATTTTTGTTTGGTCTGTCCCCCGCAGCCGCCCCTAAAATAAGGCAAGGCGGTTTTCGCTCATCCCACATTTGTCTCGTTAGCCTCACAGTGTATTTTCACGCTGTTTTTCACTAACTCAGTCATGTTTCACCTATTTTGTGAGAATCAGACCTACTGTGCACGCGTAGTGTTCATTTCCCCGAAGCAGGCAAAAAGGCTACACTTTTTTCATGTGCATACATTGCTAGGACACCCACACCTGTTTTACATACAAAGTGTGGTCATTCCTTTCTTTGTTCTCGTGTGTTTAAGGAAACTTGAGGAACTAGGACAGCTCCTTTGAGGTGAATTTTTGATGATGGTTTCCTGGACTGTTCTTTTTTATTTTGCCGCATATAACCTTGACCAGAAAATGCCCCTGAGATTCTCTTTCAGAAGGGGAAAACATGGTGTGGACGTGTGCGAGTCTACACAACGCCACCATACCCTGCACAATGTGGACCTCTTTTGTGTGGATGCACACGATGTATGCCACGCCTGCACACGCTGGCAAGCGCGTGGCCCCAAACTTCAAATGACCATAGAAACATCTTCAGTTGAACTGAAAATGTACCGATATATTGATTATTTGGATATATTATGACTGTCTTTACAAGCACGCAGAGTTTAATTAAAATTGCGTATGGGGTAGCCGAGTTCTGCAGGGGGAGGGGAATCCGCCCCATGGCTGTATTAAAGTGCTCCCACATACTTCTGACTTTTTAGGGTTAAGACTGAAGTTATGTTTGCATCAATTTTAAAACTTAGGCCTACCAGGAAATTAATGATTTGAATATCGTTACGAAATGGTTGGAGGTTGAATCTGTTCCCTTCCTCTCTTGGACACTGAATACGCCACTGCCTTTTATCTACGATAGGGTAGCACTAACCTACGAGCCTATCATTAAGGTCATGGGGATAGAGTGTAAACTATCGAGGAAAACGGCTAAAAAGGGGGAAAGGGATAAGAACAAAGGAGAAAACGGGAAAAAATGCTTTTATTTTTAAAGCTAGGTATAGTGCTTTTTATTCCCTTTAATCTATTTTTGTCATATCTTTTGCATTTTATTATAATTCTTTTATTTTTTTCTTGGTGAAGGCAGGTGCCCTCTTGCCCCCTTGCGACGCACATTTAACCGTGCATTACGATGCTAGGTCAGTCTCGATTTGAAACTTTCTGTCTGTCACGAGTAAGTCCCCCTTTTTAGGAGAAACAAGAGGCTGACTTCTAAACAATACATACGTAGCTTGTTCCAGTGCGTCAAAGACTTGATATCCAAGTGATGGATTCGTTCCGCCTCGGCCGCCCAAAATAATGCTGATTTTATTCAGAAGAAATTGACGCATACATGTACAAGGAAAAACTAAACACTGAACAAAGTGGGTTGATTTAATCCGGGATAGCCCCAAACATGCTTATTTTCCCAGGGACTCCACAAACTAAATAATTTCATTACAAACGAACAAAAAACAAAAGCACCAATTTACGTTTAATTGCCAATTACCACGTTAAAATTACCACTAGTATTGAAAGATCCTGAGGGTCCAGAAATTTAATTAACAGAAATTTATATATGCCATCAACTCCAGCCCTTTTGAATATTAGTAGTATCAGTTTAGAGTGTTTTATATCCTTATAGGCCTAAATAAGTAGCTTTATGTTATGAAACTACCTCTTTTCTGCAAATAAAGTGTCTGTGATATATTGTGATAAACTAGCCTGAGTTAAACTCTCTCCATTTCTCTGAAAAGAAAATAATATGCAAGGAAAAGGTTCTTTTCATAATCAAATAAAAAGTATTTAACTTTTTCAGGGGAGTGGCAAGACTCTGACCCCGATCAGAGTAGAGAACTGATGCACTTTTGTTCATGTTTAATGGCCAACAGGTTTGATAGATTCATAAGGGTAATTTTCAATCAGTTCTATTGACATTCCCGGTAACTAAATCTGCGGGAAACAGCTGATTAATTTGAAGAATACCTCTGCCTTTGCTAAAGGCAGGAGTGAGAGTGCATGACAAATGGCGAAGAAAAATGTCGGAACGGTCTATCTGAGTCAACTCCCAAAAGGAAATCATCCCTCATTCCGACACACGACTCTACACCACTCCCGGGGTGGATCAATATTTCGCCCGGGCGAAATAACTAATCTGCCAAGGCGAAAAACTAATCCACCCAGGCGAAATAGTAATCTACCCGGGCGAAATAGCAGACCATTTTTTTGGTTAGTCAGGTCCTGTATACACTTCCTTATTATAAGGCTTCTAGCCAAAAAAAAAATCTTCACCAACCGCTCAAGGAGATAGCCAATTTTGTTCACAGGCTTTTTCTAATTTGGCGGTCATTGCAAATGCCCTCTCGTCGTGTGTCGTACAGTTGACATGTAACAGTTACCTCTTTCAGTTGTGAAGCCAAGTTTTGCTTGTCTCTTTTTTTATTGAAACAAAATGTACTCCCTGTTTAATTAAACAAAATCCCACGATGAAGCTTCAGAGACATTTGCCAAATGTCACTTAAAGACTTTTTGCACTTTAAAACAGATTTGATTATATCCCCAATAAGCGTTCCTCCAGCAATATTACCGGATCTTTTTCTGTCTCGCAATATTTCTGTTAATAATGGTCTTTGCGTATTTTCACTGAATTGTTGAAAATTTGTTCCATTAAAATCACCAGCAAAATCAACAACAAATTTACGGATTTCATTTCATGGCATTTTCCCGCTGCAACTTTTCCCTTTTTACTTCAACAAAGAACAAACTGCACGGCTAACAACAGACTTCCAAGGACAAGAATGTAATGCAAATATGGCATGGAATTCATTTTTCAGTCTCCATAACGCTTGATCGGTGAAGCCTGTCCGATCAATAACTGTAGAAGTAAAAACTGTTTTCCTTCTCTTTTGCGAATGAATAGCTATCATCAATGCAGTAACCGCAGTTAACTCTCTGCTTCAATTACCAACTCTTTAGTAAATAATAGTCACGAAATTTGTTTGACCAAAACATGGACCCAAGTCATTATTTCCTTGAAGAGTAATGCCAACATTGTGATTACATTCCTTTGTACCAAAAAGTACCCTCGACCCTTTTTTGCGTATGCGTGATGGCGATTTACTACCAAGAGTAATTTATTGCGTGGTCCGAAATAACGAGAGTTTTTATTTCAATTGTGATTGGCAAAATCAGGAAGTTCCTTTTGTTACTCTGTTGGCAAAAAATCCAAAACCTTTTTCACATGTTAAAATACAGATACAGAACAGGCATTATTCACCCAGTGGTGAATAAAATTAGCGACATTTATCGAAATGGCCCGTAAAACGTCAGATGTTTTTCCTTAATTAATTTCCATCATTCCTTTTGTCTTGTCTCCGTCCCAGTCATTGACAAATTAGAGGGACCGTTGACTACTCCACTTTGACAACGTTTGTTTGGCACTTGTACTGCAGCTTGCAGTAAAGAAGTGTTTGGATTTTAATATTGATAGCAGACGGTTTACAGCTTCGGAAAGATTTTACGTTTTCTCTTATTTGTGATTTTTTTTGCAAGCTCTCGCACAAGTACTGAGTATACAGTGTTTAAAAATATATTGGGTGGATAAGGGCAAAACACGTAATTAAAGTTCACATGTCCCCTACGCAAAGTATGCATCTTGAAAAGTGACTAAAATATCTGCACTAGTACGCAGGAGGTCGTGGGTTCGAGTCCCACCCGAGTAAGCTTGTGAATTTTTCCACAAATTGTAGGACAAACAATGAGTATACAGTGTTTATCTATAACTAATTTTATAATTTTAGTTGTTGATTTGGGTTTTTTTGTATTTTGGTATTAGTTGTGATCATGACACTTGTTTTAACTTAATATGTCTCAGTTCAATTGACGTCCACGTGACCCGAAACAGGGCTTTTGTGGAAAGCAGTTATATAACTGATAAGGTTACCTTATATAATAAATAAAATAGAAAAAAATATAAATAAATGAAATTGTTAGTGAATTTGTTTTTGTTATAAACCACACAGGTCCTCATCAGCTTTTCATACTGACACTGAGGGTGCACAGCTCAACACCATTGCAACGAGGTTGACGTCACATACGATTGTAGAGGAAGGAGGCCAAGCTTTGAAAATACTGTCGCTTGAAAAATTTGGAGCCAGGAAATCTGAACGGAGCCACTTGGCTCATGACAGTTCCTTGTACGGCGTAAGCTCATCAAATTTAAACTGTTGTAGACAATGTGCACAAAATTTCCTTTGGGAGTATACTAAGTCAACCTCTAAATCAGGATTTGGAGCATGGCAAGATCTCTGATATTCATTTACGTATTCCTTGTGTTCTTAACGATTTCAACGTTAATTTACGAAGCCATACTTTCCGGTTATTCAAGTAGTCATAGTTTTACTGAAAGTGTGGCCTTGCCAAAGCATCGGGTTTTTTTCTCAAATAATTCGTATCTGCTCGCCACCAAAAGCCATACCCTGACGCTCACCCTACGCATGGCGGCCGCGCCTAAACTGATCCACCGTCTATATTGTGTCCTCCTACGATCTGCCGTGTTGTTCTGGTCACCAAAGCTGGGTCACATCAGCGTGATACTAGACAAGGAATCGGCAGCCGATCACCGGTTGGCAGCTCGACTGAGTCAGCAAGAGCACGCGTTTGGCGTCAAGTTTGATTTCATTTACGAGCCTCTCCCAAACGATATCTCAATCTTGAAAATAGAGAGAGATCGTGGATACAGCCGCCAACTATGGAGCAGTTTCTTCATGGATCTGTACATTCACGCATCCATCATCGCTTGGATTGACACGGATGGAATGTTTACAACACCTGTCACCAGTGAAAACATCTTCAATGACCATCAGTTGCGAGTTGTAACTTTCACTGACTGGAACATTCCCCGTAAACATGGCTGGGACAAAACGACCAAACTTGCAATGGGCATGAATCTGATGGCGGATTTCATGACATATTTCCCCGTTTACATCTGGAGAGACACAGTAAGGAATTGCAGAGAACACATTCTCCGTCACATGAATGTAAGTGAAAGACTTAACTTTCTTATTTTAGACTTGAATTTTTAACCTCAAGATGGAAAGCTTCTTTGTAGCATGTTTTCCAAATATCATTTCCATGTAGCTTATTACACCGGACGAAATTATTGACGTAAAAGCTGTAAATTAACAGCTGTCCATGCTAATGAAATAGTGTCAGACATTTGGCAAGGCTTAACAACTTACACGGGACATGAAGTCTCCTCACTGATTTGGAATTGTACTCATTTGTGATCGTAAAATATCTAATCTGCTTTTTCTCAAAGCCATTTTGATGAAAATCCTGCAAATTTTCTCTTTTTTTCTTTGTTAGAATTTTCTTTGCAGAATCATTTTTCTTTTCACCACGGAAAAGATTTTTTTCTTGAAGCTGATCAAATAATGCTGCACCCAAGGGAATGGGCCTGAGCACCCCCCAGAGTTCCGTTGCATAACTCTCAGAAAAACGAAAATACAAAACACATACATCTTGAACTACCAGCTAGGATATAGCCGTACATCCCTGTCCCATGTGGTGCAATGGTGCGGGTGAGTGTGTGTGTGTGTGTGGGGGGGGGGTGTACGTATAGGAGTGTCATTGGGCCTGCATAGTGTTGACTTCTGCTCAACATAATGCAGGGGACAATGGCGTTTATTGTGTGGGTGTGTGTAGGCGTGACGTACATAATGTGAACTTCTACACAAAAGAAGTCCACATGTAGGCGTTGTGTGTGTTTTGTGTTGGGGGAGGCGTTGGTCGAGCACCATGAACTATTTGGGGGTGATTTTAGCTAACCTCATCCAAATCCTGGTTCACCATATGTTACAGTGGGTAATAAGTGATATACCCAACGAGGAAGGACACAGAAGGAGTTAAAACTCCGGCACATCAAAGTGCTTGATGACCATCGCCTCCCGGTCAGACGAACAATTATATAATAAACATTTCAAAACTTCCTGATTACTGCCTGCAGCTTAGCCTGACAAGTGGGGCCAATAATATCGTAGAAATATTTGAGGTGTTTTGTTTGCAGTAAACTACAACTTATCGCAGTGGCCAAGAAATAGAAAGAATAAATATCTAACATTAGATTCACTATTGCCGTCGTGAATATTTCTTACGATTTTGATGTAATTTTCCATTGTTCATGCAATGTTTGTAATTTCATTTCTTTACGAATTTGGCTAAGACAGGCGAACAACATGATGACCACCACAGAACAGTTAAGTTAACGAAAACAAAATGCGCTGTTTCATCACTAGGAGTGATCATGAGATCACATAACATACCTTTTTATGGAAATTCCGTAATAAAAATGACCAAAACTAGAGGGACGTGGTTGTGAACAACCACAGAGCTGTTTCGGAATTTTCTGTTTTATCTTTATCTTTTTAGAAAACAGATCAATTCGTTGAAACTATCTGCAAGGGAAAATGCACTTGAAATTGTCACAGCAATCCCCAGGCGAAGTACTGGTGAAATCAACTAAAGTGCGATGTGAAAAAAACGTGTACAAAACCTATCAATCAAACTGCAACTTTAATCTCATGTCACGTGACTCCTGATGACGTCATCATGACGATTTATTTTGACAGCCCACGAGTTGATGGACTACCTATGCTCCCAATGCAAAAATACTAAGATGTATGAGTGTACCAGTCTTCGACTTCAGAAAAACGTGCACAAAATCGATGGAGAAAAACTGCAATTTTATAGTCATGTCACGTTATTTGCGTTTATATTGTTATCTTGAAAAAAATTCCGAAATACTATTTGATATTTGGACTCTTGGGTATATTTGTAATCGAACGAAGACGGAAAAATACGATTTTTCTTTCGTTCTTATAGTAATCTTCAGCCGAAGTTCAGGACTACTCTCATTGAGATCGATAATATTGCGCAGTTTAAAAAGTGTACAAAATCTAAGGGCAACTGCAACTTTAATCTCCTGTCACGTGACTCCTGATGACGCCATCGTGACATAATTTTTTGACATAACACAAAGTCACTCAGATGTATGAATGCACCAGCCTTTGACTTCAGAAAACGTGTACAAAAGCTATGGAGAAAAATTAAACATTAAAAAATCAGTTATAAATCACGTGATGAAGTCATCGCGGAAATTTATTACATAAACACTCTCTAATTGTTAGGCTAAGAACCTTGACCTAACATCCATCAAGACAGGACGAAAACGCTATGAAAGTCTGGCTCTCGAAAAATGTGTACAAAACGTATGGGAAAATTAAATATCCCAAATTCAATAATAAATCATGTGATGACGTCATCATTCTGAATTTCTTCTAGGACCATCTTTGGATGATTATCTGAAGATCTGCCACGTTTGAAATCAATAAGATTATAAAACTACCAAAGTCGACTAGAGGAAAAAAACGTGTACAAACTCTATGGGGAAAAGTCTAAAAAAAGGAAAAGAAAACTAAAGGTTTTGTCTATCTCAAGGAGAAAGCAAAGGGCTTTTTCGCATTTTCTTTTTTTCTTAAGAAAAGGGCATTCCTTCATTTGAGATACTACCTCATTTCAATTTCAGCCTTTTGGCCATTAGGAGATACAAAGAATAAAAGTTTGCACCCTTTACCTTTAATGTCACGTGACTTGTCTTCTGATGACGTCATCGTCACATCACTTCATTATTCGTCCGAAGAGCTCCTTTTGAAGATCGATGCAAGGTTTGAACCCAATCGGCCAAGTACTTCAGGAGGGCTTTAAAAACACCTTTAATGTCACGTGACTTGTCTCCTGATGACGTCAGCATCACACGAGGTCAATATTCCACTAAAGCACCCCCTTTTCAAGTTATCTGCAAGATTTGAACCCGATTGGTCCTGTACATCAGAAGATATAGGGCCTTCAAGAGTTCAACTTTAAGGTCGTGTGACTTGTCTTCTCGTGTCGCAATCATCACATAAGGCCAACTTTCTTCTAAAGCACTCTCTATTCAAGATATCTGCAAGATTTGAACCCAATCGGACATGTACTTCAGGAGCCTTAAAGAGTGTATTCTCGGTTCACATCGGTCTACATAAATATGCATTGTCTCTCTAAAAAAAACAAAATTCTTTGATAATATCTGACATAATGGTAATTGATTGCACATTTCACAAATGATTTTCTGTGTACAAAATATAAGGAGAAAGATTGCAGGGCCACTATAGATGGCATATGTTACACTATCTTGAACATTTTTTTTTCACTTGATAAACACTTCGAAACTACGCTGACATTTTCATCGGCAAACGACGCCACGTGGGATCTGCAAGTTAAGGGCCTGGTGTTGTCATTGACTTCATCATAACCGTCCTACTTGGGGTTCAGGACTTAATACGTCCCCACGCAGATCATCAGGTGTCACGCCCCCAAAAAAGTAGAATCCAGGCAAAATTAATAACATTTGACATTTCGATAATGTCGATAATGTCCGTTATGAAGAAAAGATTGTTAATGACGTCATCACTACATGAGCTCAAATATTTGCCTAAAGCACTTCCTCTCCAAGATATAAGCAGGGTTTCAACTAACACCGACAGACTAATTCTGTTGAAAAAAACTTTTTTACCACTTTTTAAATAAGCCTACTTCCGGTTTCAACCGGAAGGAAGGGTCACGTTATTTGACAAATTCAAGACCACATTTTATCTTGGCACTTGCTGCGAACAGAATGTTGCGGGAGGCCACGGTTGATTTTATATGGATTTGTATATATTTATCGGAATATTTAAATATTCACAATTCAATAATAAATCACGTGATGACGTCATCATGACGTAAATATTTCAGAATTATTTTCGTTTTATAGTTAGTGCTTGCTGTAAGTTTGGCGACTGTCAACTATTACTAAGGTACGAAAATAGTACCTCGAAAACATGTACAAAGTCAATGGGCTGAAATAGATATTGAAAAATCAATAATTAATGACTTTATGACGTCATCATGACATCATAAATTTGGACGTATCTCTGCATCAGGGTCTTTGTTGGCTGTACATTTGGTTACAATTGAATGAACAAAAGGGTTTAGGGTCAGAATCACAATCAAAATCAGAACCATCAGAATCATCATCAGAAGAAGAAGAAGAAGAAGAAATAAATTTCACGAAAGCAGTAACTGCTTCGGCAGTACACCAAAGCAGGTGAAAAAAGACAACAAAACAAAAAATGCCTTTTTTGCAAAGTGCGACAAAGCCAAAAACAGAACATACAACAGAATGCTTTTTCCGCAACTTGCAGAAAAGCCGAAACGAGAGCTTATCTGTGAGAACACAGGACCTTTTTGCATTCCTTTGTTAATGTGAACAAAGAATCTACCGCACAAACGTGATGGCTTTATTATTTCATCGAAACCAGTTGGGTCCAAAGTTTCAACCCTATCAGGCATGCAATTAAGGAAAAAGCATGCTTTAAGTAAACTGTAATTTGAATCCTCATCTGATGACGTCATCATCACATCAGGGAAATTTACCACGAGAAAATTTCTTTTTCTTGTTATCTGCAAAGTTTCAACTCGATGGGATGTGTAATTGAGGACGTAGGCTTTGAAGAGTGAACCTTTAATGTCTCGTGACATGAAGTCAGTATTCATTTCAATCACTTCCCTTACAAGAGACTGCAAGGTTTGAGCCCAATTGGACACAGACTTCAGGAGACATATAGTTATAAAAAGTACACCTTTAATGTCACGTGGCATGATCATCTGATTTGCCCCGGTAGCGGCCGCAAGTGTGTGAACATGTGTAGTATGCACCAAATTGAGGGCAAAGGTCACTATATACACCAACTATATCAGACGATCTCACTAGTAAACAGTGCGACTACTTCATACTTCGCTCTTAAATACAAATCGTGCTAATCTGCAAATATATCTGGAACTGGTGAATTGAAATGTACTGTTTTTCTGCAGAATGTGGAAGTAATTGGAATTGATTAAGTTCCAGAAATTATGACAGGAAGATGGTAGTAGTAGGCATGCAACTTCGTATACAAACAAATCGTTGAAAACTAAGAAACAATCAACGAATTAGGTCATGATGACGTCACTTCATAAATGCAGTCAGGGATTGACTGTTAACGTACTGAGTGAATTTCACAACGATCAGACATTGTATAATGTGTAGAATTAAAAATCGTACATTATAGAGACGTCATCAAGATTTGCCAACAAATAGATATCTAACAGACATGCTTGAGGTCTAGCAAGAGAATTTTGAAAAAAACTTGTTTTGCTCAGGAGATATGTCGAAAAGAATGTCAAAATGACAAAAATGAAAATCTTCGTCATCATGACGTAATCCAAATTTTCACATAAAACAATTAGGATTTGGTTTTGTGCAAAATTTCAAAACACTCGGACAAATGGTGTTAGGATACAAGCCAGAAAAATTCAACTTTGTGGGTTTGTCACGTGACAAGTGATGACGTCATCATGACAAATAGCTTCTAGGACCATCCGTGGGTGGTGGTTTAATAATGTTCTATGGCGGAAGGATTACTGAAATGAAAAACATAGGAAAACCATTTATTTTTAAAGATTGTATTTCTTCTTAATTATGACGTCACCATTCCGTGACATATTTCAAATTTTCTATCTGGTTTCCTGACCTAAAGCATGTCTCTCTTAATCCTATTAAAACCAACTTGTGTGCTTTGGAAAAGTTTTTTAAAGCCGACAAAATCTGGTCTTCTGACGCGGGGCACGTTTTGACTTAGTAAACATCTCCCTAACACTATTGACCCACCGGGCGTATTGACGTGCATAAATGGGTATTGCGCAATCACGCAATTTTCGCCCTTTCCATCCCAATATTTTCTCAAATAACCGCTGTAGATAGTCTGTAACACTGTTTATTGTTAGAACTGTAGAAAAAGAAAGGCATTTTGAGGGGTTTATGTTCCTGTCTCTTGAAAAGGGTCTTACACTTCACCACCGCGAACCACAGAAAGAAAAGCAAGAGATGCTTCGGCAGTAACGCCGAAGCAGCGAAAAAGAAAAAAATCTTTGGAAAAATCTTAGGCTGTTTTGGTTGACTTACCGAAACAGCCCAAAAATATCGCCAAAGTTCAATCACACGAATTTCTTTTGCAGGTATCCAACTTTGAGGACGCCTTTAGGAAACTGAAGGTAAAGAGGGCTAGGATCAGTCCCGTCAACATTTTGTTGAACTACGCTTACTACTTTGAGCATGATCGCTATGATTGGCACCTGGACGTCAACAACAACCTGGAAGCCTACAACACCCAGCACCTTGCACCCGGTTTCGAAATCAAACCCAATGAGACTGTTCCAGATGTTCGAGTCACGGTGCATGCAGGAAAGCACTTCGTTAAGGCTCCCAATCCGATGCTGCAAGGATATTGTATCGCTAAGGGGCACGTTGGCACGGTACCCACTGCTTGTAAAATGTTTGAAAATGTCACAAACTTTCAGCTGTTCGAATTTCTGGCCGAAAGAGGTGTCTCTTTCAACCACCTCGCCACCTGGTGCTCGCCTAAGGGTGATGGGCGCAAGGACTGCAGCCGACGGATTGAGGCGCATTACAAGAATGTTGGCAGGTATTACAACTTGGGATGGTTTGATCTCGATTTGCGTCGAGTATCTGCTGTTGAGAAAGCAGCTGCGCTCTTGAATGTAACTTGTCCCAAAATATTTCATAATTGATAATGAACGTTGGAGCTGAGGAACTGTGCAGTTCTCATACCGACAATTATTTGGGAGAATCTTTAGAACTTGCAGCAGGGACTGTTACAAGTGACTAATTGTTTCATTATGTTTGTAGTTTTGAATTTAGTTTGGTTTTTCTTCTAGTCATTGAATAAGAATTGCTCAACTTTATATGTGATGGTCGCTGATTGAAACTGAAAATTTACCGGGCGGGCTGGCTGGCTGGCTGGCTTCTTTCTTTCTTTTTCAGTATGGCAGTATTTAGCACATTTAAGTATGGCAGTATTTAGCAGAGTTACACACAAGTCTGGCACAAGCATTCTTCACACTTCATCGATATAGGGTTATTAAGATTGTACCTTTAATTTGACTTGTCGTCTGATGACAACATCAACAAATGGGAATCAATTTTCGTCCATAACACTTCCCTTTCAAGTTTCAACCCAATCAGACATGTACTTCACAAGATATAGTGCTTTGAAGAGTGTGCCTTTAATGTAACGTGACTTGTCACCTGATGACGTCATCATCACATTAGGTTACTATTCTTCGAAAACACTTCTCTTTCGAGATATCAGCAAGTCTGGAACCCAATCCTACATATATTTCAGGAAATGTACCGCCTTGAAGAGTGCACCTTTCATGCAACCTCTCTGCAAACAGGATTCCAATATCAATCTATACCCCAAAGAAGGCGTCCTTATCTACTATCAATTACGCCATCCAACAACACACTGTGGGTGGCCGGTCCGACCTTCTGCCGGATCTACTTTTCCAGAACCGCCACGAGCCACTAACGTGTGAACTCTCTTATTTCATCCGTATACACACTCGAACATTGTGCATGGTGTGTGATACGGTTGGACTTCCATGTACTGCACAGAAATGCACAGTACACGTACATTGAGTACGTATACACGGTACTGGTCCGGCCGGAAGGCGATATATTTTCAAGTATCTTGCTGAGGAAACTCGACAAGAAGAAGCTACTATTGGGTATGAAGTGTAGTCTTCTCTTGTAAAAACGTACAGATGCTCTCTCTGTATATTTTTTAAAACTTAAAAAAAGAAACAACTTTGAGGAGGACAGAGAAACTATTTTTATATCTGTAAATTGTTTTTCGGTGGATCTCAAATTTTTACGTTTATCTCAAATAACGATACGTTTACTTCAACTAAGTAATCGCTACCACAATCTGTAATTATTAACCCTGGGTAGAAAGGGTGGCCTCTCCTGGCGAGTCCATTGGAGCTAATTAACATATAATTATTTGTTTAAGTCAAAATTCCACGACTACTTATCATATCCTACCCCTGAACATGCTGAAAAGCCCGGTTTAGTCATTTTACAGCCAGGGCCTCCCCTAGCCAGAATAAATGCAAAAAACCCAGACGTCCTTAAGCCAGCCTCCAGGCAATTCCAATGGGACTGTGTACAAATTGGTCCCTTGTGCACAACCTAATGGGCTGTTTACAAAATGGTGCCTGGGGCAGGCAGTGGAATGTTCTTTATCAGTGACAGCTGTCTGGAACTTGTCAGAGGCCTGTGTCGGCTGTCTGTGTTATTTTTGTTGGGGGTGTGGTGGTATGGCTTGGCTGGCGCGTGGCGTGCCCCCCCCTTCAAATCCGGATAGCCTGGGAAAACGGCCCCCTGCGGTACTGTGATGTATTTTTGGTGGGTTTTGGTGGTTTGTAAGATCTGTAGAGGCTATGGGACAACCTCTGAAGCATTAAAATACCTTCAGGACGGACACAGGGCTCTGCAAACCTGAAAAATGCAATGGACTCAACGGAATAGCCCGTCCCCGTAACCGTGTAGGTTTGACCTTGGGAACGCCTCCTCCCAAAAGTCTCATTGCTTATTGGAGTGTTTGTCTGATTTTAAAGAGGGACTGTTTTCTGTTTCTTTCGCTGGTAAATCGACGTATTTTTCCAACCCAGGAATAATGGGTCAGGTATAGTTATTGTTGAGAAGGGGGCGTCTGGTGGTACAGTTAGACTGCGCCACCAAAGCACAAAGAAATTTGAATATGGGTGTAGATAGCGCTACGCAAGGACTTCATCGTTTGCGGTGAGTTTATTAGGTGGCATGCATTCGCTTTAAATAGCTTTGATGTAATTCTGGCAACTGACAATGTTGAACTTTTGTCTGATTCAATTAATGAATTAATATCCAGGTATTGCCGTTCATGTTATAATTTGATTTTGTGTCTTATTTCCAGTGGTATTTGTTTTTGCTAACCGGGACATTATAGTCAAGTATCATAGGAGTGTTCGGGTAGAATGGAAGAGACAGATCATGAGCAACTCAAATAGGATGGAAATTGGACACTGAAGGGATCTTGATAGCACAACACGCAGAACTTCTGGGAACAATACATCCCCTGTCTCGGCACATTCACGGAGTTTCAGCCTTTTTTTCATGTAAGATTTCAAAGATTAACCAGGAAAATACCAGCTTCGGAAATATTTCTTCGTTTCGTACCTAGAAGTGCGTTGGTGCTATTATCTACTTCTGAACTCTGAACTCTTTTGTCACTATAAATAGATATTTTCCGAGAAGTTCCAAGAGCCGTATAAAAGGATTACACAATTTAAAATGAATAATTGAATAAATAAAGGAAAAGGTTGCATGAAGTGATAATTTCACATGATTTGTCGGCTTGTTTCTGAATGCAGCGGCCGCACCGTCTGTGTATATGGCCATAAACATAGGCTTACACGAAACATGAACTTTCAAAGAACACAGTTTGCCAGAAACTTTGCTGCAAGGACAAATTATCAGTAGATTCAGAATCTAAATCAATCGATAAATGTCGACATTGATCAGGAAAGATATTTACATCCCCCAACCCTGTACTCTCGTCTTGTGATTGGGTTCAAAAGCATTGAATAAAACACAACACCACCTGCATTAATAGTTGGCCGTATACATGTATTTAACATTACGCACAGAAACTGCTTGGGTCAGAAAGAATATCTGTCACTTTAGTGTTGCCATTACGTGTATCTCATCGAACTTTGGTGTCTCTCTACGGAGAATGTTTTGACAATTTACCAAATACTGACAAAAATGACCCACTTTCAGTTGCCTATACTCCATCGAAGGAACATCCAACTTTTGCGTAGAATGGCACCTTTTTGTCTTATATTTTCCTTAAAGGTTGGTTTACTTAATTCTGAATAAAGCATGATGCAAATAAAGAAGTTTTCGATGAGCACACATCTTTTTACCTTTAAACTGGGATATCATAAACGCTTTTAAAAAGAGAAAACCAAAAGAATCTTGTCAAGTGAGGCTTAATTTTTTCTTCCAATAAAAAAAGACAAATAAATTTATCCCGTCAAGAAGTAAGCTGTCAGGTGTGTCACGTCGACTAATCCTTACATCACGATCTTTGCTGTTATCGGTTCACCCATTAGACTAATTGCAAATATGTTACAGTATGAAATTAAATACCTTTTGGAAATAAAAGTATTTGGGTGATCAGGAAGTATTCGCAGCCGATTAACTTGTTTTTGTGTCTTGTTGTTTACAACAGAATGTTTTTTATTTGTCTCAATTTATTAACATATCAACATGTCTTTGTTTAAGTATTACTACTACAGACGCTTTGGGTTATTGACACCACAGCGCGTTCATTAAGTGTAACTACTAAATTGTAATGCATTTAAACACCATATTCGTTTTTCGAGTGTATTCAATGGTTATCCCCTCTGTCATCAATACAATGGAAATCAATGCAATTTCTTGCAAAGCAGGGGTCGGGGTCAGGTATCATGTTGAGGGGTCGGGGGAGTGTTGAGGTGTCATAAATGTTGAGGTTTGCGCGTCTGGTGGAATAATTCGACTACACCATAGAAGCAAGCAGCAAATTGAAAATAGGTACATAGGGATTTTAATGATATCCCGTTAGCGAGATGCAAGGACTTGTGGAAACCATACCCCCAGCCCCTCTTCACACCTTCATGGAGTTTAAGCCTCTGTTTTCCTTTCGTATTTATCGTCAAAAGTTCACGAAGGAAATATCAGCGTAAGAAATGTTTGTTTTTTGTTACCTGGAAGCATGTTTGCGTTATTGTCTACTTGTGAACCTTGAACTCTTGATATTGTTATACGTAGATATTTTTAGAGAAGTTCCATGAGCCGTGTCAGCGCATCATTGAAGCAAGCAGCAAATTGAAAATATGTACATAGGGGTTTGATATTTCAATTGCGGGATGCAAGGACCTGTGGAAACCATACCCCTACCCCCTTTTAACACCTTCATGGACTTGAAGCCCCTTTTTTCATTTCGTATTTCTCGTTAAAACTTCACGACGGAACTATCAACCTGAGTAATGTTTGCATCTGAAAGCATGTTTGCGCTATTGTCTGCTTCTGAACCTTGAACTCTTGATCTGTTATACACAGATATTTTTAGAGAAGTTCCATGAGCCGTGTCAGCGCATCATTGAAGCAAGCAGCAAATTGAAAATAGGTACATAGGGATTTTAATGATATCCCGATAGCGAGATGCAAGGACCTGTGGAAACCATACCCCCACCCCCTTTTAACACCTTCATGGACTTGAAGCCCCTTTTTTCATTTCGTATTTCTCGTTAAAACTTCACAACAGAACTATCAGAATGAGTAATGTTTGCACCTGAAAGCATGTTTGCGCTATTGGCTAATTCTGAACCCTGAACTCTTGATATTGTTACACACATTTAGAGAAGTTCCAAGAGCCGTGTCAGCGCATATTTAATGGCGACATAATGAAAATTGAATGTATGCAACGGGATCGGGGTTCGATCTTTCCTTCTTCAATAAAATGCAGTCGTTTATAAGTGATAAATGGTGGTTATGTATAAATAATTGTAGGTTGCATGAAGTGATAATTTCACAGAATTTATCGGCCTGTTTCTTCACGCGGCGGCCGCACCGTCTGTGAATAAGCATAACCCTACAGGAAACTTGAACTCTCAAGGAAAACAGGGCAAGTTGCCAGAAACTTTGCCTGCAAGGAAAAATTATCAGCAGATTCAGAATATAAATCAGTCGATAAATGTCGATATTGATCAGGAAAGATATTTACATCCCCCCCACCCTGTACTCTCGTCTTGTGAATGGGTTCAAAAGCATTGAATAAAACACAACACCACCTGCATTAATAGTTGGCCGTATACATTAACACCGTCCGCAGAAACTGCTTTGGTCTAAAAGAATGAGATCCTTGCCTTTAGTATTGGCATTACCTGTATCTCCTCAAACTTTGTTGTTTCTCTCTGTGGAATGTTTTGGCGATACCAAATTTTGACAAACATTGTAAATATTTACAGTATGAAATTAAATACCTTTTGGAAATAAAAGTATTTGGGTGATCAGGAAGTATTCGCAGCCGATTAACTTGTTTTTGTGTCTTGTTGTTTACAACAGAATGTTTTTTATTTGTCTCAATTTATTAACATATCAACATGTCTTTGTTTAAGTATTACTACTACAGACGCTTTGGGTTATTGACACCACAGCGCGTTCATTAAGTGTAACTACTAAATTGTAATGCATTTAAACACCAATACTCGTTTTTCGAGTGTATTCAACGGTTATCCCCTCTATCATCAATACAATGGAAATCAATGCAATTTCTTGCAAAGCAGGGGTCGGGGTCAGGTATCATGTTGAGGGGTCGGGGGGAGTGTTGAGGTGTCATAAATGTTGAGGTTTGCGCGTCTGGTGGAATAATTCGACTACACCATAGAAGCAAGCAGCAAATTGAAAATAGGTACATAGAGATTTTAATGATATCTCGATAGCGAGATGCAAGGACTTGTGGAAACCATACCCCCAGCCCCTCTTCACACCTTCATGGAGTTTAAGCCTCTGTTTTTCATTTTGTATTTCTTGTCAAAACTTCACGAAGGAAATATCAGCTTAAGAAATGTTTGTTTTTTGTTACCTGAAAGCATGTTTGCGTTATTGTCTACTTGTGAACCTTGAACTCTTGATATTGCTATACGTAGATATTTTTAGAGAAGTTCCATGAGCCGTGTCAGCGCATCATTGAAGCAAGCAGCAAATTGAAAATATGTACATAGGGATTTGATATTTCAATTGCGGGATGCAAGGACTTGTGGAAACCATACCCCCACCCCTTCTTCACAACCTTATGGACTTTGAGCCCCTTTTTTCATTTCGTATTTCTCGTTAAAACTTCACGACGGAACTATCAGCATGAGTAATGTTTGCACCTGAAAGCATGTTTGCGCTATTGTCTAATTCTGAACCCTGAACTCTTGATATTGTTAGACACACGTAATTTTAGAGAAGTTCCAAGAGCCGTGTCGGCGCATATTTAATGGGGACTTAATGAAACTTGAATGTATGCAACGGGATCTTGGTTCGATTTTTCCTTTCCCAATAAAACGCAGTCGTTTATAAGTTATAATTTGCGGCTATGTGTAAGTAATTGAATAAGCCTGCATGAAGTGATAATTTCACAGAATTTATCGGCCTGTTTCTATAAGTGGCAGCCGCACCGTCTATCAATAGCCATAAACATAGACCTACACGAAATATGAACTCTCAAGGAAAACCCATTGGTATATGTTGGTTCACTTTTTTAAGTGAAAGATGTTTTGCAGATGGGGTATAATTACTTTTGTAAACTTACGAAACTATTTAGATTTCAAAATGAACCTTGCTTTGTATTTCTTGAACAAAGCACGAAAAAACGAACCTGACAAATCAGGAATTATGTAACTTTCCTTCAAAGTATGCATTACCCATATATAATTGGTTCTTTTTCATATGCAGTGTGTATGGCGAGTTGCTTATTTACAACCACATTGTTTGAAAAGGATTACTCAAAAGAACTTGGTCAATGTAAAACGAAATTCATGAATGATTCTTGTATTTGTTTGAAAGCTTTTTTTGACCACTCGTTTGTCACTTTCCATGCCTCAAATATCAATAATCCCAGAGGTGATTATTGAGAGGTTACTAGCTTTTTACAGAGTTATTTTGTGTCGCCTTGTAAGCGTTGCGATACATCACTGGTAGCTTGCCTTGCAGGGTATGGTGTTCATCCGTCTTTATGTGTGTCATGCCTCTTCTTTAGTGACATGAGTGTGCCATCTTTGAGCAGACATGATAATATCATTTCTGTTTTCAAAGATGGCACATTGTTTACATGTAAGCAGTGTTTAGGGCTCTTAACAGTCATTTTGTTTAAGCTTATTGTCCTCTCCACGTACTCAGGCTCTGTGTTGGTTAATTAATTGTAGCTAAGTTAGTCTGGGAGCTGGATAAAAATATTGTAGGTATTGTACCCTTGTATTTGTACCCTTGTCACTTGTAGCTGTAAATTATTGGTAAACAATACCCCCTTGCTTCCTCTTGGATTTAGGCCTTGACGCAATCAGGAAAGAGGTGGTTCTTTTCTGGTGTTCTGGAGCGTAACATATAACAGGCAATAAAAATGGCTCCTGAAGCAATTTGTTTTCAGAAAGGCAAAATTCTCGTTGATCAACAGAGGGTGAACTACAGGTTTTCTAGGGCTGCAGCTACATGGCTCCCCAAAATTAGTGACTTCAAATTTTCCAATGCAACGCCTCACTATAAACAAACACTGACATGGTACATCCATCTTTGCATATACACGTCAACAGTGACATAAGCTCAAAAGATATAAGCTACTTGTCGACTCAATGCAAAGTACTATATAACTGGTTGATGAACTCTTTAACTCCTAAGTTCAACAATTCAAACACTGCTTATGACACAACTCATAAACGAAGAGTTCTGAGTTGAAATTAAGGCTCCTCGATGGGGACTTCCCTGTGCTCCTGACTCTTAGGAAGCAAGACCAATTTCTGGATGGGGCGTTCCAGAATCGCAGTAGGCTAGGTTCGTCTACCCATGGCATCCAAAGATTTCTCAACAACCATGAGCTTAACACTTCTGACATTGCCATCAGTGCCAGGGATCGCTTCCAAAACTCACCCAAGTTTCTACTGGTTGCGGGGTAGGTCGTTGTCAACAGTCAGGACAACATCTCCAACTTCAAGATCAGACCGAATAAGCCGCTCCTTGGCACCTTCAGTGTGACTAGTTGTCGGAGTATTCATTTCAATTTCTGGATAGTCGCACCCTGTTTCAAAGAGAAAGTGCCGCAACCTGTACCCTAGTCCATTTCATCTAAGGCTCGCTTCAGTTCTGACCTTGCACCAACGAGATTAGTTCCGTGGTCTGACCTAAGCATCCGTATCGAACCAGGTGTGGCCGTAAATCGGCGTAAGGCATTTATGAAGGCGTCTGTAGTCAGCGAGTTGGCAACCTCAATGTGGACGGCCCGAGAGGCCAAATAAGTAAATAGAACCCTGTAACGCTTAACCTTTTTCAGTCCTTCCTTGACCAGCCATGGACCGAAGTAGTCTACTCCACAGTATGCAAAGGGTGGTGCCGGCTGGAGTCTCCCCTCAGGTAAGTTGGCCATCTTTAGCTGTTTCGGTCTCCGGCCGAAACAGCTATTGTTCTTCTTACCGTTTTTTTTTCTTTAATTATTTATTTATTTATTTTTTGTAAAGGTTTTTTTTTTGGCTTTTTCGCAGTTTGCGAAAAAGGCATTCTTTTTGTCAAGTTTCTTTGGGGAGTTTTAAACTGAAAAAAATTCTCAAACAAATTATTTAAAAATAAATATACCAATGGAAAATAATATGCAACTTAAATTTATTTCAACAAAAATAAATAATTACCTGCGACCACTGTTTTCTTTTGAAAAAAATGTAAATAGAAAAACAAAAATAAAGCATTCATAAAAGAAATTATTTACATGTAGTATCTTATCGCCCAGTCGGTGTATTACATTATGTCTTGACATGGAACAGCCGACCCCAAAGAATTTCTAGAGCATAAATTTAAGTTGTACAGGCCCGTTGCCTGATCAGAGGCAGAAGGTTGACAAATGAATTATTATGTTTTTGTTACTGAGTGTTGATAAAATTTACGATTGTATACTGGTATGTGGCGGATGTTTATTTATTACACAATCTCTGAATTCGCACGGTTTGCCGTGTAAATTAAGTTCTAATTCAAACTTGTTTTTTCAAAAAAATTATCAGGCGGACTCCCCATTTTTTTTCGTGCACTCAATTAAGTTCTTCTCTATATGAATGGGAAACTCGTTTATAAAATCTTCAGATCAAATTTGCCTCACTTATTTTCAGGTGGAAAACAATATGTGGGGCCTTACACTGCATTTTTTCAGTATCTTTCATAAAGCACTGCACAAAATAAATCTTACAGAACACTGAAATTGTTAATTTAATTGGTCTTAAATGCAGTATATCGGCCCAGATTCAGTGCAATACAAGTTAAACCAACCTAGCCCAGACGTTGAAATCTCCGAGCTCTGCCAAGGTGCCCGAATTGCTGTTGCCAGAAAACTCCCGTAGTATTGAAACCCTTGCTTTTGTTCGGAGCTATCGCACTTGTGTATGGTAGAAAGAATACACACGCAATCCTCACATAGTAGGCCTACGTGTCAATGCAAACATTCTGAAATCGTTACACAAACGGATTTTTCTCCAGTCTGTAATGCATGTATATTGCAAATTTAATAAATAGTTAGGCAGAAGGGTTTTTGTGGAGAACAAGTCCGTATAGTGTCATTAAATTGATTAAGACCAAGTCAAGCCCGGTGGACTTAATTTATGCAAAACAGTAGAAACATATTTTTCCAAGTGCTGCATGGACGACCGCCCGACCGACCCTCTGCCCAAGATCGAGGAAAAAATATATTCAGTTTCAAAGCTGCTCATTCTTTCCTAAATTGCCTGTCAGAAAATAATAAATCACAGATCTTTAAGGACAAGGAAGTAATCGTTTCCCCTTATCTCCCCCCCCCGACTGACCTGCGTGTACATGTGACCATAACCTAGACGTAATACGCGTAAAAGGGTAGGCCAATTGGTGTCAAAGTTCATCATCCCAGATACCTCGCTATACTGAGAAAAACTACATGTACATGTACACCATGCCCAACGGAAAATGTTCTCGCGTCCTGTGTAAGAAAACGCAACTATCCGATTAAAAGTTACCAGCGCCATAAAACAGGATCATGTGCGTAGTGCCCAGTGGTTCGATGAACCCCACACGTGCAATATTAATGAGGATAAAAAGCCAGGAGAAAAAGTTTTTACGTAAAATGCAAACGTAACTAAAGATGTAATAAAACGGCTGGATTCGCTTGCATCATAACGGAGGAATAAAACAAAACACACAACAAAGTTGCTGGAAAGCACAGTCATGAGCGAGCGCTTGCGTGAACTCAACACTTATATAATAGTGGGAATGGCCGTCTTCAATAACACGAGCTTTGGAGGATTTTTCAATTGGACTGATTGGCTTACTTTGGTTCTGATTGGGGGAAAGTATACGGTTTCATTGCTGTGGACTTTGGCTGTAATCCTAACTCGCACTTTGGCATGTGAGGGAGGGTTGTCAAAATGAGGGGTGCCATGCACAAAATAACAAAACTTCGCTTTGAGGGTGTTTGAAATTAACGTGTGTGTGACGAATGTTATATTGTGTCATCGTGCGAACATTTTTATGGAAGGTTTAAGTGAACATACAAATTTTAGCAAAAAAATGTTTTTCCTTCTTACAGGGCAGTGGCATTTGATGAACATCGGCGGCTATTCAGGGTGAGCTTACACATTACAAGTTCACTAAACACACTGTTCACAAAACCTAGCTACGGGGCTGGTCAGATTAACCGGAATTAAAGGGTGGTTTTGTTCAGTGTTTGCTTCACAATTATTGTTGCTGCTGAAACTGACTTTTTGTGTCATGTTTTTAATGTTTGGAGGCTACTAAAGTACCACAAGGAAAATTAGTGAATGTCTATCAGACGGTCACCTTTTCCTGTTTGTGTACGGGAAACATTCGCTGGATATGATTTATTCTTTAAACAAAGGTACACAGGATGATCATCCCCTATCATGGCATAATCCTTAAAGTCAGTGTCTTCTTGAACGTGATCTTGAGTGACATGCACTGTACGCAGGTGATGCCACTTGTTTTGTATTAAAATAAGTATGTATCCAACTAATGAAGTAAGGGCGCATGTTGAAGAATGCACAGCATCACGGGTAAGAAGAATACTGGTAAAATACACATATATTCCGATACTCAAATAAGAGAAGCTCAAGATAGTCTAGGAGAAAACTTAACAAATACACAATTTACACCCTTTGCATTTCAGGGTCGCTCAAACTTTTTGCTTGCGTATGCCTGCTGTGTGTGGTGCGCAGAAGTCATGTACATGTATACCGAGAGAGATCAGAGAAGTGCAAATGCGGATTTGATAATGTAAGCCCAAATGATCTTATCCCATTATACATTAATTTGCCTCAAGCTGTCAGATGCAACTTCCTTTCATTACTTTTATATCCCAGGAATTACCCGCAGTGGACCTCTGTGCTGATGACGAAAGCATTCCTGACACTCAACCTTGCGAAAATGTACCGTTGCAAACTTTATTTTATAAATTTCACTCGTGTATTTCCTCAACGGATGCTTTTTGCATCTGTGGAAATTTTAGAAATAGCAAGATACAAAAATGTTTGGGTATTGTTTTACTGTATACTTTCAATATTTTAGAATGCTATTTGCTACAACAACCTTCTTTTTCTATTGAGAATAACCAAGAAGAGGTTAATGACGAACTGGCACAGATACTACAATTTTTCAAGGAGGATTTATAAGTAAAAACATGTGAATTCGTTACAATGTCAATAAAATGCAGCACTGTGTCGTCCGCCTTTCTCTGTATATCGTCCCATATTCTGTAGGTTGTCTTGTTTTCTCTTACGACTCCAAATAAATTCAACTGAACATTGATCGAATCAAGCCTGGAAAGCTGCCTATATGAGTGGCGCACAAGGGATGTCAGTAAACTGTTAGACATGGATGTGTTCAGGCATATGTGGCAGTCATTGTGAAATCAAAAAGTAAAGCACCATGCTTGGAGCAAAATTGTCTGAGACTATTGTGAGTTTTTTGGGCATAGTATGAAAAGTGTTTACTGCTTGAACAACATCTTCACTCAAGTATCATGTCAAAAGTAAACTCCATGTACTAAACATCGGCTGATAACGACAGTGATGAAAAGAACTGTTAAGGTGGCCAGGAGAGCCCATCCATGTCAGTGATTTTCACCATAGATCATTTACCTGTTTGGTTATTGTACAAGAGTGGGGACATTTCATTCAATCAACTCTGATATTACGATTCCAATGCTACATCATTGATAAGTTGTTGACCTCATTATTTACACAAAGATTATTTATATCCATTGTTTTGTTGTACCACCACATGAACTAAAATGCAAGTACAGGTTTGTGAAATAATTAGTGGCGCACAGTCTCATTGTAGGTCCTGTTAATAAATACAAGTATAACTTGTGTATCTAACGCAAAACATCCATTCCTTTATTTGCAGTAACCAGGAGCCTGATGTGCTGGATATTATCCGAGCATTTCGCCAGGTGGTTGTCGAAGGCAGAACCTTAAATTGCACCAATGAAGCCACAGATGACTACGAAGGGGATACCTATGATATCATGATCTCTCGATCTGACATATTCAACAGCATGGTAGACGAGTTTTCAGCCCCCACCCACAATGCCAGACTTCCACTCAAGGTTGACTTTATGGGGGACCGTGGTCATGACTTAGGTGGCCCCGAAAGGAGTTCTTGCGCCTCGCCTTGGCACAAATATTTGAACGGCTTACATCCGGTCCAGACTACTCCAGAGAACTTGATTGCTCCAATGTACCCTCCACTTTCATAGAAATAATTTAAGGTATTCTATGTGGCAGGAATCATCATTGGTAAGTTTTAAAAAATGGATAGAAAGGGAGTGTTGAAGAAGATTTGACACTGAGGTCCTAGTTGATAATGAACCTAAAAATTTCATGTTGGGGCCAGGGGGGTTGGTAATTTCAAATGGGGGGGGTGTCTGCCCATTCTTCATTACCTACTCCAATGCACTTGTTTTCGATATGAACATTGAAACTTTCAATGCACACATTCAGTTGTGTCTATGGTAATTTTTGTTTAGGTCAATGCATCCTTCTTGATGGACCTACTCCACATTTTCTGTACGAGACTCTGGTGGATAGGCTTGTCAACAACAAACTGCAAAATGCCTCCGAAAAGGAAATGGCTGCAGGACTGTCCATAACAGGTGTTCTCAGTGTAAGTGTCACAATCCTGTTCAGAACAGAACAACACTGACAGAAATTGTTCCCTTACGAAATGGGGCAGTTGGCACCAATACAATAGGACAATACAAGACATGAATATCTTTTGGCAATGATACACATACAGACAAACACTGACAGGCAAGAGGTAATACAATGCATCAAAATACAATTCTAGTCGATACAGGTGATGTATTCAGAGAGTATTCGATTTTTCAACTTTAGAGCAAGTAGGCTCTGCTTTTATAATTTCATTTAGGCTATTTCAGTATTAGACACCGCATTGTACAAGACTATTGTGTAACGAAGTTCTGTTGGCATCAACGTGTAATTTGGTTTGAGAGGTACTTCTGGTATGATATGAGTGAACATTTGAGGTAGGTTTAAGTATGATTTAAAATACAGTGGCAGCTTATCATTCATATATTTATACATTAATTTACCTAACTGATATTTATAAAGGTCAAATACCTTTAGCACTTTATGTTTAGAGAACAATGGGGTCATAATATCCAGCATGAGAAATTATTCGGACAGCACGTTTTTGTAAGATGTACAATTGGTCACAATTAGATAAAGGACCTCCCCATGTGAAAATACAATTAATCAAATACGGTAGCACAAAAGAATTATACAGAGTTAAAAGAATATTACATGGGAGAAAAGACTTGAAACTGTTCATTATACCAGTACATTTATTTTACTCGAAACTACACTTATATGACTCTTCCAAGATAAGTGTATACCCAAAAATGTTCTACTTTTACTTTATTCAACGTTTTGCCATTTGATACCAAAGGGAAAGTGTGAATGTAATTTTGTTGTTTAGTACAAAATACCATATAATTAGATTTGACTAGATTGATACACAGTTTGTTGGCTAACAGCCAAACGTTTATTTTTGTGAGTTCAATATTTAAAATCTGAACAGCTGTATTAATATTATCATGACTATAAGGCTTGTGTCATCTGCAAAAAAAATCAATAATGGCCCAAAGCCTCTACAAACACCACGATGCCACTGGAGCAAAGTCATGAAATTCCTCTAATTTAAGATTTAGTTCAACACCCGCCACATCTAAGGTTTGCCTTCATAAAATGGAATTTTGTACCTTACACAAGTAGTAGGAGAGTTCTGAACCACCCTCCTCCCCTGGGTACATACCCGACCCCCCCAAAAAAACCGAAAAAAATTCCCCAAAAATTCTCTCCCCCACCAACGCGAGAGCCGCCCCCCCCCTCAACGAGAGCTAATTTCTCTATCTTGGAAAACGAAAAAAATTCACGACGTTCACATTGAGACTAGAAATGTCAGACCAGAAAAAAATTAACCAAATTCAGAATTAGTAAAAAGAGCCAAAGACAGATTGATACAAGCAAACGAAAGAGGTACTTTAGGAGAAGAAATCAGAATCATCGCTGAGCAAATTGAACAGCTCAATCAAGAAGTCAAATCTTTAGAAGCACAGTTAGGCCAAAGACAAATAGAAAACACGCGAGCTCGTTTAGCTTTTGAGATTAACAATAAACAAATTGAATCAGCGTCATTATATGAGGGACAGAGACAAGCTTTAGAAGAGATTTATGAGGGCAACCCCTAAGCTCAACCTCCAACTAACCCTGCAAGAGACCGAAACCAACCCAGAAAAGACAGAAACCACTACATAGGTAAAAGACTTTTTCTCACGGGGTTAAATGAACCTATATACGATGGGCTCCATTCTCAAGGCTCGTTTCAGTCGTTACCCCAGGGCGAACGAGGAAGCATCGTGGTGTCTCCCGGTTTTACAGCATGGACTGGTTTGACTTTTATTAATAACCTCGATCCCGGGTGTATCTTTTAAAGTTCACTCGGAGTCTAAGAGGTGACGTTGGCGATCACGGACCCCAACCTCAAGCTGAGGCTAAATAAAGAAGTGTCCAAGCTGTTATACTTACCCAAAGTCAAACTTTTACCCGGCGTCATTTATCTATTCATCTATTCCTTGACAGTCTTCTTTGTGATTGTCGAATTTTTGTTGGCTTTGAAAGAGACAAATTCAATTTAAAGTATAAACACACCGTCTTTCGCGGTGTTACCAAATACGTTGATCGCCAAGTTGTTTGGGTTTCGATGCGTGGCATCTGCGATATTGGAGTCGGAAAGTCAACGTTTGTAAGATTTAAACCGTCTGATTCTTTGTAGGTGTTTGTTCTATACGCGTGTAATTTATATCCCAGATTAGTTGCAAGTTGGTGTTTGACATAAAGTCTATAAAGTCCTTTAGTCACTCGTATCGGCCAACGTATACACTGTTGGTCTTTAATCTTTACGTTGATGATCGCTTTTTTACCCGCCAATTCTTTAGGAAGTGGTACGTAACTCGCTCCAACTGGATTATAGAGTACCACATTGATATAAAACGCAACCACTTTGTCAAATCTCCAGGCAGGACCCCTTTGGGTATGAGTTTCGACTTCCCCATATGATACTCTTTTTGTTCTTCTAACGCGTTTTCGACGTCTCGTTCGGTAAACACCACAGTGTTTCTACTTGTAAACGTAAAAACACCACCTTCGGTTTGCCGATCCGGTCTTTCTATTTTAGACTGGACTTTGATCGCAGTTTGCAACTTGTAAGCTCCTATCTCTCAAAATTTGGCCAATGCTTTCTCTTCTATGTACCTCTTGTAAAAGTCAAAAGTCTACTAGGTCGTCTTCAAAGAAACTAGGCTTCAGTTCCCAGTTTCTAAAATTTCCTTGAAAGTGTCGAACGTTTCGGATGTCTACCTCCGCCATCGCTTCTGGGCGGGTGTCATTTTTGATGAGATCTTTTCGTAACATGTTACCGCCTGCACCGGTAGCGGTAAAGGGTATGTCATTGTCTTGTACTACTCGTAAAAGCTGATTTGTGCAGTACGTTTTTAAACGGACGCTGGCTCGTTTGGATCGCCCGTACATATTCTGGTTTAGTATATTGGTGACCTTGAGGTGGAGGTAGGGGTATGTTGTATTGTCCGATAAAGTCAGGTAAAAATGACTTTCTATAGTATCTAAAGTTAGAAAGCACTGGTCGATACAGTCTCAGATCCTGAAATGTTTTGTTTAAATCAAATGGAAATTTCATTCACACTCGGGGAGAGGCATTGCTGTGTACAAATGAATTGCTGATATTAACTGTGAATCACATTGGAGGAGATGCAAAAAAAACCGAGACTTACATTCTCGCCCTGTAACAGAGAAAAGTGGGCGTGGCAACATTTTTTGACCTGCCAAGTCCTTGCCATGTTGGGTGAAAGATATTGGGGTTATATGATTCCTAATTCATTCACAGACATAAGATAATAAATAATGAGTTGGAAGTTGCAGTTTTCAGACATCAGAGGGAGGTGTGTCTGTAGAATATGGACATGCGGGGAGGGGGGGTATCCCTCTATACCATTATTGCCTGCCACTGTAAATTTCATTTTGGATCTCAAAAATGGCCACACCTATCGTGTATCCCCCTCCCTAAAGAAATCAAGCCGTCTAAAATCAGGCCAGAGTTTCGTGTTTTTCGCATCATTCCAAAACTGGTATTAAAGGAACGGACATCGGAAATTGATTCGATGCCTGTGATGAGAAAATAAAGCCAAGGTTCAGGAACTGGGGGGGGGACTTAACACATCCACAAAAATCTGGAAGACAACGCCATAAGGGACAACTCCGTGGCAACTATGTCTTTATTGAAGTCCATTCCAAATCAATCTCAAATTTCAAACAGCCTTTTTGATTTACAGAGCAACTTCACAGCATGCAAACCCATTCAAAACTGAATGCATATTAATCGCGGCTCTACAGTTTTCTATTTCTGATATTCATTGTCTCACAGGTCAAAACTTTGTTTTTTCTGAAATAAAGCTTACAGCTACACTTTAAAAGGAAACAAGAAAAGGTTATTGCAGTCATTATTTGCAGCTGAGGGGAAAGCACCTGATAAGTTACATAGTGATGAATAAAAACATGTACATGTAGCCATCATAATGCGCATGTGTCTATTTCTTCCAAACCAATATTCTACCTCGATCTGTAAGCTTTAAATAAATGACATGACATGAAATGGTACATGTACCTCACGTGCAGCTTTGGAATTCATATGCAGACTGTCCATGTATATAATATAGTCTTTCATCCCTGAGCTTTACCTAGTATGGAAATCTGGGAAGAATTGTGTACAGTATTACATTCAATAAAATGGTCTGCTTGCCTACCCCAAACCACATTTAGAAGTAATAAACAGCGAATGCTGTCCTTGTTTCAATTCATCAACAGCTTAAGCAGACTGTTGCAATGCTATCTGCTTGTCCATTAAATGACATTTTCTTTCACATCGAAAATTCATTACATTGTATTTGTTTATTTTCTTCACTTTACCAAAGCAAAGGTCACGAAATTTACACCATGTTAACTTCAAAGAAAATCTTTTTTTCTAAATTTAAATATAAGCCAACGTCCGGGATTTTACTTCACAGAAAGGCACTATAGTTCAGTGGTCACACAAACTTTACAATAACTTTCAAAGGTGCATGTTTAAATATATTACATAAGTACAAAAACTAAGATCCATATGAAGCCATTATATATAAAAATCCGTTTCTTGAATTAGTGGTTATTTTTAACAAGAGTTAAGTTTTTATAAAATTCTCTTCAAGTTCACACACAGTTACCAATTTACTATTTGAAAAAATGGTATGCACATATCTATGAAAATGCTTCGATTCTAATGTTTTCTCGTTTACCTTGCATACAAGCATAGCTATACTAGTAGTAGGCCTAGGCATAAGCAATGCTCCTCTTTCAGGGAGAAGCAATTTTTTAACAAAACGCTGGGGAAACTTTTTGCTGAACACAGACGGCTTTGCACAATCAAAGTGAATTTGGTCCCAACGAACAATACTTTTTTCCCAATCCATGTAATTATACAGAGAGGCCACTGCAGCACTGCCATTCGTTGCACAACACATTTTTTTAAACTTACCCTTCCACAGTTAAAAGCCAGGAAAGGTCTTTGTTTAAAGAAATGAACGGTAGAAAACCTGCTACAAAATACCGTCAGCATCATCAAATTATTGCGCAGTTGAATCCTCCTTGGTTGTGGTGCATTTATTCTTAGGCAAGATACTTTGCTAGTAATTGCTTGGACACATGGTTGTTAACGAGCATGTATTATTTGACATGGCATCACACAGCTGTACTCACCAAAGGGGCTTCAGATTGTCTAAAGAGGTCTATGAGCCTGCTGAACAAGGATGATCATCACGATCAGTAGTGGATTTAGATGGGACACACCTGACATGCCCCTTACCCTTTTTATCAGGGCGGGGTGTTTTCTTTTACTTTTAAGGAGACCCATTTTGCTTTTGCCTACTCCTCTGTTTACCGTCGACTGGGTATTTAACAACCTGAAACCGGAAATTCTCACCAAAAAATACTAATTTGGGGGCTCACTACCATTTTGGGCATTCCCTCGTGTAAATCACTGGTTCCACAACTGGCAATAAAACAATGGTTTGAGCACCAACATTGCCTTTGGAAGCACACTTCAGAATGTCCCTTTCCACCCGGCTGGGAGAAGGTCATCACCCCAGAAAAAAATCCATCCTTCTCTCTTGCACAGAAAGTGAAAACAGCACAATTCTATCGTGGCAACACTGCTGATGAGCTCAGCCAAAAGGAACCGCAAACAGCCCACTTCAGGAATTTACAGCATTTTCAGAAGGCTTCTTGAATTTTGTCCATTAACTCAAACTGTTAAGCAATCCGTATTCTCATAATTTTGAAGAAATACATGTAAGTGAGCATGACATTTAACAGACACACAACTTGACTGCAATAATTTCTCACAAGGAAAACTGCTTCACAAATGCGACCCACTCTGTGAAAATGAGTCTTAAGTCACCAGAGCCACTTTTTGAGTTTTCATTTGTATTAGAAAGAGCAAATTCAGCTTTTTGTTTGGATGTATCACTCAGTTTGGCATCCTGATGGAAGTGGATACTCCATGGTGAGAAATGCCGTGGGTTCCTATTGATTTACACTGTGCAAAATTATTCCCAAGGACTTTTTACTCCAAAGTGGCTCTGGTGACTTAAGACTCATTTCCGCAGAGTGGGTCACAAATATTTAATTACAATGGCTAAAAAACATACTGGATTAGTCTTGGACGTCAGAAGCCTCTTCCTGGGGAAGTGGAGCTAAAAACAGAGAGACAGAGAGAGAGGCAGAGTTCATTACCATAGTTGCAATAAGTTTTCGAGTGAGACTATTGATCTGGCCCAGAAGCACATTCAGCGCTAAAACTCTCCTAAACCCAAACTCAACACCATATCAAGAAAAAGGCAGCCCCCCCCCAGAAATAGTGCAAATTTTTTTTGTTAGTAGAGGACAACTTGAACACCAAACAAAACAACAGGTTCATGTGTGAACTTGAAGAATAAGTGGAAAAAGTAAAGTGAGAATTTCAACACCAATATCATAAAGTAAACATCTCGAAGCACAAAAATGGGTTAGCTGCCAGAACAAATGAAATACACGTATCTCTACTCATTAGGTATGTCACATTTTTGTGCTGTGCTGTAAAAAGAACAGAAATTTTTCATTTTGTTCATTTTGGTCCACAGTTTGGGTTGACACTACAGCAGAAACGTAAGAATTTCAACATCTGCAACTTGAGAGATTGATACCCTGTCAATAACATGTACCTTGCTGTCACAGATTACAATGGTTTAGTGTGAACAGCATGTTCAATAATTGCACAAAAAATAAGGATAATCGGGATATTGCACAAACTAACTAAGCTTGAAGTACAAAGTATTTTGGAAGTACCAAGTACTTTTCAAGACCTTTTCCAGTGCTTTGCTGGCAAACGTTAATTCAAAAGTACTTTGTACATCCAACTGACTTCATTTCCTGTCTGCTGTTGACATTTTTCTCACTGGGTTTATGATGAACACATGTACACACAGTACTACACATCACAGTTACACATTGGTGTGGGATGCAGTTGCTAGGTAACAGGGTGCACCCTCTTGTTCACTCAAAAACAATTGAGAAAAAATAGCACTCATGAAGAATTATGCTGTCCATATTTTGCAAAACTACCTCAGAATCACGTGCGCACTAATTCTGTGCCAGCGACATAGTAGTTTTCTGCAGCAAATGTATGTGATTTACAATTTTCGTGCAAATAGCAAATTGCACGGTGGGTTGTTTCCTGCCCAAGAACAAACGGGCGCTTTTAAAACGCGAAGAAAAACTGCTCCTGTGCTCATTACCTGGTTGATGTGAATTGCCGTTTTGTCCGTCTTCCCCTTGAACAAGAAAGAACAAATCATTCTGAGTTCAGGAACACGTAATTTGGAGTTCAGGGTCTTTGACATGAATTACACTTGACAATGGATTTTCTGCATCTTTCTTTTCCTCTTAAATGAATAAAAATGGCGGCTACATGTATAAGGACCGGGGAAATTTATGTTTCAGCTCACTAATATTGTTTCTTAATTGATTTCTTCCAGAAGTACGGTAAATGGAAGTACACATATCCCCTGGGTGTGGGACACATTTCCCAAGCACAGAAACCATGAGCGTACGTGTCTATCAAAGTTCAAAAATCATCTCAGCCATCATCATTTTCTTGTGCATCCTTCGGGAGGGGCCAGGGAAAAGAACATGCTTTGTACACTTACAAACTTGTTATGGGAAAATGGGTGATGTCTTATTGAACAGTGCTTTTTTTTTAACCATGGACCTTTCCATGTATTCCCTGACAAATGAAGGCATGGCTGCTGTAGCGCCATTTCAGAAGACACTGTTCATAGAGTACCAAAGTGTGATGTCACTGTGAAAAAGAAAGTGCTGTACAAATGAATGGAGTACGCGTGCGAGTCGGTTCACGCGCTGGTTCTTGCGCTAATGCCTTTTACACACTAATTGTGCGCATGATGTATTCACTTCGGTACTCTATTGTGGGAGTTCTATTATAAATTGAAAATTTGCTCAAAGAAAATGTTTACAAGAGATCTTTGCTCACTGGCCAACTGTCAAAGACTTGGAAAAGCAAATTAACTGAGAAAAAATTACGATAGCAAAACTTCAATACTTTTAGCAGACTTTCATTCTGAAATGACTATCACTTTGAAGCTGCCTCCTGAAATGATATCACACATGGACTCACACAACTACATTCATAACTTAAAAAAACCTTGAAAGGTGCCCAAAATCCCTGTGGCAAATGAAATCCAAAATGGGGTTAAATGGGATGTAAAGGCAGATTTACTACTTAACTGCACCAAAAGAAATCATTGCTGTTAGTTTGCAGTTATTTGCCAAGGGGAAACTAGCGTCAAACATGGGTCACAACGTACACTTTTCTTTTTTGTACATTAATCTAACCTCTGGCCACAAGGGTGATATTGGCCAGAAAGAAACAACTGATTCTGCCCATTTACAAATGCGGAACATTGTGCTTGTTACCTTCGTTACAGCAAATCCTCCTTGCAAGGTTTATCCCTAAAAAGTGATAGAAAAAGCACAACTGTTACAAACACAGTTTTCTTGTTGGTATGGTCACATTTGATAAAAGTTCCTTAATTATCAAAAACACTTGACGGAAAACTGACGGCAACAATATACAAATTTCAAACACTGTCATTCAAAACCTCAAAAACTAGAAAAAATCAACAAATAGAATAAACATGTTCCATTGCAAGATGTCTTTTCTATGTCAACTGTACATCAGTTGAGTCCAGTCATGCTGTCGTACAAATTAATTTTTAATCACTTTCACCACAAAGTCTCAGACCGTGATGACCTCTACATACAGAAGGCAAACACAAGTAAAGAATCTTTGTGGCTAGAATTCCAATGAAGTTGGGCAGCTAGGAGATATGAATAGCAAAGCACACCTCTAAGTTAGCACATGCAATCAACGTCAGAAAAGTTAGCTCCGAATGGGATATATTAGGTCCAGTCCAGCTACTGCACAGTCCTGCTGTATAGTATTAAAGACTGGCAAAGGGATCATGGCAGTGTTGAAATGCATCTCATGTTAGCTCAAGCCTCTGGTTGAGTCTGTGTCTTGAGTCTGAAGTCACACCAAGTCTCTGATCGCCAATCAATTAGGCCAACTCAACTGAAGTTGAGTCAGAGTTGAGTTGCATTTTGCCATATGATTTTGAGCCAAGTGAGAAGTGTCTGCAATGCAATATCAATGATAACATGCCATTGCTAATATCCATACCTTACTGTACACTTTACACTCCTGTGTGGCTTCAATATGATGCCTAATTGTACTAACTACATGCATGTACAAGGTTAAATTTAAACATGTGCCATGCTGGGAGCAGTACAATTGTTAAGATCAAGCATCCTCATTACAAAGACTATGAAATTCCGGGTTTTGTTATGCTTTTGGGAACCTAAAAGCATTCCCGTCAAGTTAAATGACTTCCCACAGCGACTTGAGCATTAAGTCAGTCGGACATAATGCTCGGGTTGAGTCAAGTCATTACAGAAAAATGCATCTGAGTCACTTATTTGGTCATTACACTGGCTAACAGTGGGTCCGATGATAAGGGCAGAGGTCACATCAAGCAGGCGAAATGCAAAAGCAGTCATCAATGCCAATCATGTACAACGTGTCAGCCATTGCACATACTGGAACCACTTCAGGGTTAGAGGCGTCTGAGAGGCTAAGCAGATAAAAGAAAGGAAAGAATGAGGCTGAGTAAAAAATTGCGGCTAAAATCAAATATGAGCAAGACAGTGAAATAGCTGTTTGTTTTTATGGTTACCTGCATGAGCACTAGACATTACTGGAAAACCTCCTAAATGCACTGGCAGCAGAGGCAGAGGGTCAGGGGGATACTGCTCCCCCCCTCTTTTTCGATTGGGTGGACATGACCCCACTTTTTGCAGGGCCTACCATGTCCAGTTCGTAAGTGTGACGTCACTGCAGTTTAAACCATGCCCACTGCACATGCACTGGACATAGAGTTATCATGGACTGATCGCCGTTTACATGGAACCATGGAACCGGAAGTGAATGTACAACTTCAGCAATCGTCCAATGGGAGCCTGCAAATCATGGCGTGTCCACCTTTGTGACAAAGTCACTTACAAACCAGATAATGGGGTGGGGCTTAATGGATCAGCTCATTAATTGCTGGTGCCTGATGATCTCCCAGCTACCCCCCCCTTGAAACTATTCCATCCCCACTGCCTGAAGGCTACGCTAGGTGAACATAATGCATTGCAACAAGCACAGAGAAAATCCTCCACTGCCGTGGGCTCTTTTAGGGTAAAACTGACATAATAATGATGAGGGAGGCATTAAATTGGCTTGATGTGATAAAGCAAAGGGAAATACATTAGGGCATATCTAAATAAACAAACATTTGGAGGCTGACAATGGAAGCAGCCTTCAAAACTGAGTTTTCAATGGGGACTTGGAATTTAGAATACCCTTCACAAACACTGGCAAAAACAGAAAGTTAAAAGCATTTCAACACACAAGAAAAAAGCTCTGCAGAAAATCCTCTGATGAAATGTGGAGGGCCGATGGGATAGGCAGATATTTGATTTAGGAAGATCTTCTTCCTCTTCACCTAAGACAAAGCATTATCCGGAGGAGGCAAGCATTGTGCAACCAACATGTGTTCCACGCTGGAACAGACCAGTCTGGCGGGGGCCATGCAGGGTCATGTGTTCCCTTATTGGTTTCCAGAAAGGTGTTAGAACGAAACAGAATTTGGGATTCAAAGCGGGAGCTGAAATGGAGAAATGAGAAGTGTTTCTGAAGTTTAAAAGCTGGGCAACCAGGAAAAGACAGATGTAGCGACCTGGTGTTAAAAATGACAGATGTACTCTTTGGGCAACACTGTTGGAATGACACTGTTGGAATGAATGTTTGAGTCTCTAAAGTGCAGGAGATTGACAAAGCAGGCTCACAAAAATATCTCCAATATCTCCAGATGGTTTGCTACATAGAGATGTGATTTTTCATATGCCATGACTGTACCTACAAAAGAAGCTAAATATTGAAATGACTACTTACATGTACAATCTTGCTTTTTAAAGCAACAAATATAACCACGTCTATAACACAGTACAAGAAGTACACATACATGTACAACAAACATTACTGCAGCACCAACTGCGCAACCTTTTCCAAAAGATTTGCCATCTGCCAAGAAAACATAATGGGGGAAAAAAGGAATACATGTAAACAGCACCCAGGTACCAATACAGCAGTCATTCACATTAACAACACAGCCAGTCTGGCCAAGAACTTTGATCAACCACTTATATACATGTACAAAGCGAGCAGAACACTTACAGCAAGAATAGTCCTTAATTTCTACATTTTGCCACTGTGTAATTCCCAATAAACAAGTTCCACTTGCCGTGCAGTTACAAAAACACAGTGAAATTAAATAAACAAGGAATTACATTTGAAGCATTCAAGGACATGTTAAAAATGTTGTTATTTCATTTCTATGAGCAACTAACAGTTTTTGCTTCGGGATGGGTTGCTTGAGATTTGGATTTTGAAAAAAACCGTTTTGAGCCAACAAACTGAGTACCAGCTGCCTGCTATTTGTAGGTGGATATCAAGTGTTTGAGTACTCATAGACTTTTATTAGTACCTCTACTATTTTTAATGAAGTGCTCAGGACATTTTCTCAATGATTTAGTTGACTCCTCCGTAAACATCAAGGATTCCACACAATAACAGAATCAGGCTCAGTGGCGTAACTAGGGCTGAATGTCCGGGAGAGGGGCACCTTGGGATGCACACATGTTATCAAGGGGCACCACAAGAAAAGAAGTGGCAGCTGCATTTCAACAGATTTTATTCAGAGATTTCAAATGAGGGCATCCAGCAGGCCACTTCTCTTACAGCCAAACAAGTTTTTCATTACCTTCCAAAACAAGGGTGTACGTTTCTCGTATAAGCCTCGTTACATTCAGCAAAGATGAGCCTGAACTAAACACCGTGAGTTTGTCACACCATTCAGTTTTGCTTTGTTCAGTGTAACTTATGCAACCTAAACTGATCGCATAAGTTACAGCATAACTTACTGAGCGTGAGTTACCTGAATTCAATCTTAATTTGTTGTGCAACGGACACCATTATAAAAAAATAAGGTGTGACATTACGCCATTGTGTAAAGTTTCATGAAATCAGCTGCAGGTGTACTTGATACAACGGCACAAGTCAAGATATTTCTTACTATACCTTGTGCAAAAAAAAATTCAAACTATGAAAAAAAGAACCAAATGTCCTATACAGAGAAGCAATCTCCATGTTTGAAAATGTCTCAATTATATCAGTTGCTAAAACTACAGCAACTAAAAACTGGACTTTGAACCACACTCCTGGGCACATATACACAGATTTGCTCGCATTATGGGGTTTGCACTTTTGGTAAGGGGGAAAAACAACTGCTAACACCGCCTGAAAATCTCACGGATAAAGTGTCACAGACTGGTGAGAGAGTAATTATCAGCATAATCTCTGAAACAAAATCAACTGATTGGACAACCTACATGCAGTTGCACAAATACAAAGCACTACCAACTTGTGCACTTGAGAGAAATCAAGCGTGACGTACGGAGGCCAATACAATTTCTTGGGCTGAGAATGTGGGGGGGATGCCCTTTTTACTTTTGTACATGTAATTTATATATGGCAACCTAACTAAAGCACTAATGCATACAGTATGTGCAACACATCTCAAGACGAGGAGGTAGGCAAAAGAGAACAGGCCTCCTACTACAAACTTGTGCCTAGAAAGTCTATCGGAGCACTCACCAAATGTGTCAGGTCCAAGACGAGGACACCGAGATTGCTCTGTCACTTCCACAGCTACACAAAACAAACAAGAAAATACTCACTTCATTTCCTCAAAGTCTGCATTTGTTACATTGATTGATTTTTAACTTTCACGCAACTTTTCAAGGGTTTTTGTCAATTTTCACAAATATTTTTCATCGGTTATCAAACGTACATGTACATGTACTTTCAACAGTGCCCAAGTTTGAAAATACTACTGAATTAATTGGAGACATCACTGAATTCCATTTGAAGCACCTGACCGTATCACTGGTTAATAAACAGCAATTGGAGTAATTACCTTAGGTAGGGCGGAGTCAATTCAAATAATTCACTATTTGAATATTCGCCCTTCAATTTGATCGAATATACGAATATTCGGTTGTACCGACTGGCAGATTGTTGATGAACAAACCATATACAAAATCACTTGCAATAACGCACACAATTGTACATAATAGCTTCTCCCATCTAGGAGTATCTCCAGCCATGATTTAGCTAGATTTGAGAGATGAACATTTCTTCTTGCCCAGTTGAAAATTTCTCTTCCTTTTAAACTGTTTAATGAATAATTACTTTTTTTGATTTCTGTTGCTTTTCATTTAAATCTGCTGAAACAAGCCTCAATAGTACATTTTTTCTCATTTAAAAAAAAAAAAGTTCCCTTCCTTTTAATAAATTTTGCAATCACAAATTCAAATTCGAAAAATAATATTTGAATATTCGATAATCCATTGAGTATTAAGTTACTCCGACATTCAGCACAGCCCTAACTATAGGCACGATTTCTAAGGTCTGACACACACAAAAATAAAATAAAATATACTTATTCTTTAAATAGAAGCTATCTAGGTGATTGCATATTAATTATAAAGATGAACAAAGAAATCAACTGGAGTGGGATATGAATACTGCAACGGCGCTCTACCAACTGAGCTATCCAGCCCTACCAGTCCTCGGTAACCCTTCTCTTTTGTCAGTATCTGTTGTTAAGGGGAACTAGTAAGAGGCCATTAATAAAAAAATACTTCCAAAGCTCCCACCTGTTGGTGTTGGACATGAGCTGGGTTCAGGGCAGGGTGGGCAACTCAAGTCAGTGCAATTGTGTAGCTCACAAACTGCAATACAAAACATTGCAAAATTGGTCACAATCCACTCTGAGCGGCAACAAGGGAGGGCGTCTTTGTACATAACAGTGATGGTCCTTTGGTGGGAAGTCACCATCTGCATGCACAGGCTCATGCACGCTGCACACAGAGCACCAACCACTTTGTCTTTCAATGCCACAGTGATCTCCTCACTTGAAATGGCACGTGTGCAGAATGCCAATGGAGAACCCTCCAACCAGCAAAGCTGGGAGAGGGGGGTTGGAACAGAGGAGCTTTTAAACACAAAATCAGGACAAAGACAAAGTAAAATGGGAGAACCAGTCAAGAAGGATTAAATTGGAAAACAAATTCTGTTTTGCAAAGGGCAAGCCTAGCCCTATGTGACTGATCATGTACAAATACTGTTCACGATGTCTAACCACGGTGAACGAGTCTCCAGAAAGAAGTTTGGGGATTTCTCACCATCACGTGGGATGGGCCAGTCACGGCACCGGCAAGTCCTGTCTGACCTTCCAGTGACCTCTTTATCAACCTTGGGTTTTGAAGAAAAAAATGACATCAACAATCAGGCAGGACTCTTGTGAAAACATCTCATCTAATGGCTACATAAATGGGATCTGAGATTCCTCCTTTTCTTTCTTTTAATTTGCTACAAATTAACATGGGTAGACCAGGCCACAGATAACAATAGATGCTGCTTTATATTAAGAGAGAGTATTCAATTAGAATCCTCCAGGATCGGCTTCACACTAAAAAGAGCCAATGGGGTTTCTTAGACACATTCGATATTGTTGAAAAAATGTCTTAGTACCCATCCTTTTCGTATTCAATTATTTTGTCAGGAATCGTAAGTCATGCCTGTATTAAAGTTTATGACAGTAAGGACAAATTGCTGTCAAGAAATGTCCATTTTTTTCTCCGATACGCGTCATTGTGATTCGATTTACTTTTCCCACAGACATGCCGGCAGACACGAGCAAAGGAGTATAAAACTATCGATTTCCATAACAATGACTCTGTGTCACATTGAATGGGAGACTTTAAGATGCATGGTAGGCAGACATGCACGTACCAATCCCACCTGACCAGGCCACTACTGTTTTCATCATGTTTCCAGCCCGCGGGAATGGGGGGGGGGTGCTCTGGGTGATGAAGCAACCCTAACATTTTTGGACCTGGGTACTGGTGTACAAAACAGCACCCTCAACTGTGACCACGTTAAGCCACTAACATAATCAAACTCACCAATGTCAGAGATCCACCGAAAAACCCTCGATATTTATGATTTTACAACCTCAGCACCCCCTAAGAAAAATGTGTTCCCCGGGCACGTTATGTTTGAGCTAATGTGTGCACATTCAAAAAGACGCAACCACAAGTGGACGAGCAGCATGGATCAGAGTATCTGCTGCCACCAATAAGCACCTCAAAAGTCTCTTTCTGACGTACCTGACAGAAGCTTAATGTGAATGTCTTTGGGTCATGCCATGAGGTTGGGGCACAATTTGTGACAGTGTCCTCGTTACATGGGTAACTTTTACCACCTGTCACGACTTGTAGTCTTGTAGAGTAGGTCATTTACATGTACTCTGTAAAAGTGATACACACCTCGGTATTCAGTCTTGAAAGATGTGTAATTTGAAATCCACATGAAGGGAGATAGCTGTTCATTTTTATAGAACCCATCTAACAATTGACACCATCACAAATTGTGCCCAAACCTCATGGAATGACCCCTTTATATGCATGCAAATTAAGTTTTCAAAAGGCACAGGCATGTATCAGCCGAGGTCCTGGGCCTACCCCCCCCCGACGACAGAAAGAAAAATCAGCAACAGCCAGAAATGTTTTTCAAGTTTAAATTACCTCTTCATTTGCTTTACAGACAGTTGCATTTCGACAACTGGTACATCGGTTTTCGAAAGGGGCATATTCGCCTGAACTGGGAGAACAACTGCTACACTGTGTATCACAACTGGTGAGGGAAGATTAGAAATACATAAGGTTACCTTCCTGAATATCTGGAAAATTATTGGTATGCTACTGATCCTTCAGTGAGGGAAGACAAAACTTGTCCCACGTGTTCTTGTTGAAAATGGCCTTTCTCCATGTACATGTATGCACATGTAGAATGTACCAGAGATATGTACAATTTAGGCCTGTAAATGTGTGTTGCATACATGCCATTGCTATTTGGAAATGACTGACAATTTTATGTGCCTTAATATGGGCAATTCACAATATGGCAGGCCACTCAAAGGTTGCCACAGAGAGGCCTTTTTTTTCAAGTTTTACAGTCGAAAAAGATGTGGCTGACTCACCATGACTTGAAATGTAGAGAATGTTGGTGGGAAATTTTAGAACATATTTCCGTTGATCAGGGCATTCCTCACCTCTTGATAAACCACCACCTTGATTATTTAACGCTGATACTCAAAAAAAATTTCAGAGCTTCATTCCAGAAAAATAAATATTGTAAACAATTCAAGTTATCCATGAACAGCATATCTGAGGAATTTAACTTATATTCCCACAATGCACTGACTGTAATAAAGGCCTCTCTATGGCAACCTCTCGATGGTGCACTGAACTGTGAATCGCCCATTTATCAGTTGAAAACACAGTAATTAAGTCAGTGGTCTTGGAATTAAAACAAATTATGTAATTATTTAAACAAATTATTACATGAATTGAGCGTTTTTGCAAAGCATTTCATCCCATCATGCGTGTAACAGTCTTATCTTTGGCTCATTACAAGACGCTTATTCATTTTGTTCTGTTTTTGGCTTTTTCGCAATTTTGCGAAAAAGGCATTTTTTGGTTATTTTCTTTTCTTTTGCTTCTTCCTTTTTCTTCTGCTCAAAGTGTCAGTGAACTGAACTTGAGGTAATCATCCTTGGCCAGAACAGCCTGAGCAACACAGACCCTCAACAAGAAACTGATGATGACAAACGTAAGTTGGTCAAAACATGAGATTGAAACTGTCGAAAACTCTGCCTCGTATAACGCTTCTTACAGTCAAACTACGAGCTGTTGAAGAAATGCTGGCTTTGATAACAACTATTTCACTCCAACAAAATATTTCAAGTACCCCCAATCATGCCCAAAGACACATAATTACTTTGCTATAGAATCAGACACTTGATATCCCCAAACCCCAATCCCCCCATCACTTAACAAACTTACTCTATGTTACTGCCACTCATGACCAAACTGCAGTTCACGAATGATCCCTCCCCGCAGTAACAGTTCATCTGAGCACCGCAGACAGTCTCTGGTGTATCACTATTTTCGTCAGTTCGCTTTTCACAAGCTAACAGCTCTAGAGGCTGAAAACCATGAGAAATCAAAAATACATGTACTGCAAAGGTGTAGCTCTTCCCCCAGCCCCAGGCAGGGTCCATCAAGTTTGGGGGCTGGAGCCAGGACACCCAAAGCTTGAGAACCAATCCTTTTGAGGAAGCGTTTGAAGATCTTTCTAATTTTTGACACTTTCTGAAGAAGTGGATAAGGACATCAAGATCATCCCCAAACTGCAAGTTATTATCTTGAACGTGATACCAATCTACACATGAACAGGGCAAACTGAACAGTGACCACAACTACCAGGGCATATGCTATATATATAGACAATTCGTTTCATAATTTGGACCACTTTGAAGTTATACAAATTCACAGTGGGGAAGAGGAATGGGCAATAATCCAAATGACTAACCAGAGACGTTTTTAGGATGGCAGATAACAAACACACTACCTCTTCCCTTAATAAATACATCCATGGACATTTCTGCACCTTTCTAGTGTGTTGCAATTATGTATGAACTTGCCCAGGGACATTATTAATTTTAGAGGAAAAATAACAGCTTTTTAGAATGACAAGTTCCACAATCCCTTTCCTGCAGAAATTTGGACTTTGCAAACACTCATCCTTGGTGATCATTTGTTCACTTTTTTGACACTCCTGACTATGTCTTGGAGTGATATTAGATAAGCCATCCATCTGTGGCCCATGGCTGTTTGAGGGTTCCTCGCACACTCAACCTCCATAGACTGGTTCAACTAACCCAACATTTTGAAATCCAACTAAGCATAAATTCACGGCACTGAGCATGGCCATGAGCATAGACATCATCAGAATGCTACATGTACGTACACAGAAAACCCCTGCCTATCACCAGCCTAGTTGTGGAATTCAGTGGGGCAGGGTCTATGCCTTAGAACAGTTTCTGTGATTCTGTAAAACCTTTTTAAATTTAACAATTTGAAATTTTCTGAATGGATCTGAAAGATCTTGGAGGGCCGAAGCTGAACAGAAGAAATGCGTATTTCCAAATGAGCACAGCCATTGTGATAAAGTCCTGGAGATAAAATTAATATGTGCATGTACTTACTGTGGTGCTGGCTTTGATACCATATGGGACTATAAATGCCATGACAATGACAACTGACATTGACAACACGTGAAGCTTGGGCATTTTGCAAGGGATTAGACGGATACAGAGAAGACCCTGGAATATTCAGATTTAAAAAAGAGAAAGTCACGTTAAGACTTGATACAAACAAGTCAACAGAAGCGGCAGTGGATATTCACACTCACAGTCTGGGAATGCTTTTACAGTTGTACCAGCATGTTAACTGAATACGCACATTACATCAGCAAGGTGCACGATGCTTCATCCCAGCTTGCCATCATAAACATCTCCTGTCACCCATCAAGCCCATAACTACAAGATTGAAACCACGACTTATCCGTGGTGTTAATCTGCACAAAATACCTTTTTCCCATTGCCTGCATCATGCCAATAAGCCACGGTGCAACGAACCGTGCACTTCTGGCTTTCTTATGTCACCATTTCAGGAGGATTTTCATTTGGAATTGGCAAGGAGCCTGAGATTTACATTATTACCAAAGGGGTTTTCCTGGATCTGGTGACCACTTTGTGGCAAAGTGGCAAAGCACAATCTTTCCTGTGCAAAAAATGCAGGTGGCATTAATATATAGTAATTATACTTTCCTCATTTTGCCTCCAAATACAAACCGGAGATTTAAAATTTAATTACAACTGTTACAGATAATGATTTACTGTTGGCCAATATCAGCAACAATAATAAAAGTTAAACCATTAAACAAAACAAGACAAGTCCAGGAAGTCATCAAAACCAGGCAGAAGCAACTACAGGAAGTTCACCAGCATTACCCAGGAAAAAAACATTTCCAGAATGGTCATACTATCAATTTTTAGGTCTTTCCTTCCTGCCACCAGTACAGTGTGATCTTTAAAACAATCCTCTTTTCTTCAAAATGTTACTGATACCTATTCCTGTTAGATACTCGTATAAAAACAGAAACAATTCCACACTGGGCCTCTCGTAGACACATTTGTTTAAAGTCATGAACACCTGCGAGTTCAACCACATGTACATGTAAGTTTTTCAGCCTTTTGTGTATGTACATGTACACATGTGGGTGCTTACTGTCGCTCCACTCTATGGTTATGATACTCTGACCCTGAGAGTAGGGGTCTTACTAATCACCCTCAACACACGCCCAACATGGTCAACACATTCAACACGCCATCAACACATCCAAAATGCAATCCCACATTGTAAATCAGCTTAACAGCCACAGAACTGTGATACAAATTTGGGTTAAAAAAGAACTTCCGGTGGTTTGAGGTTACATTTCAATTTTGAAAATGGAGTCTTTTCTGATCACAGGGACTGGCAAAAAGCCCATGGAAGACTTTTTGGGGAAATGGGTAAACTCCCAATCTGACACGTCTGATGTTGGTGTATCGTATAATATTACCCCTTTAATTTAATGGTATGGTCCGAGATGCCCTTGAGGCCTCTTGGCCCAGGGTTTGGAGGACAGTAAGCAATTTTCGTGAACTAAAAAGTCAATTGTTGAGAGTCTAACCTTTTGAAGTTTAGCCAAAATGTCCTTTGACAAATGCTTTACAGTCAAATACTGCTTCTTTTCTTTTTAAATGCATTTAAGGGGTGTTGACAATGTGTTGACAGTACTGTGTGTGTTAAGTTGACAATGTGTTGACGTACGGTAGTAAGACTGCGGTCATGAGAGTAGGGCTCGTGCATGGAAGTTCATGTACATGTAACATGCTGGTATATCCCCATAAACAGATAAATGGGGCCATGTACTGCACTGCCAGGGCACCGAGGCAGTCCAGTCCCTCATGTACCTGGGCCCCATAGCATGATTTACGGGGCTAGTGTCATGGGCATCAATTGGTGGGAGATGGGGGGACATGTCCCCATTTTTCCAAGCGGAGGAATCAATTGTCCCCTCACCCCACTTTTGTCCAAAACCTAGTGAAAATGTATACCCAAAGTAGCCACAAATTGTCTCAGATCACACCACACAGCATCTATACTCCAAAATTTTCCTGACCCCACACTGCTTATGCTCAGGGCTTTCGTGCTTTGCATTCACATTTGTCATGTTTGTTCTAATCAGGGCTATGTCCCCCCCCCTACTTTTAAAAATGGATTGATGCCCTTGTGTTGGTATTTCTACTAGCTGAACCTAGCTTTTCCAGCTAAACATATCCCAGGCCCAGCTAGCACACCTTACTAAAAATGTAATTAATAGAAAGCGCCCATTTTAAGGTCCTAAAACTAGAGCATGCCATATCAATACAGTAACATTCAGACTAACCCCTACGTACATGTATTTGGTAGTGGCAATACGTTTAATGCTAAATGTAAGGCATATATTCCGCCTATACATCACTCATCAGTAGTACATCTGTACTTGCCAGCCAATCGTCGCGGTCGTCGCCTCTTATCTAGCTTCAACATGTCATGACATGTTCGAACTGCCAAACATACCAAATTGATATTAAAAATTTCACATTTTCTTCCGATGTCTGCCATGACATCCATTATGTGCAAGTTAAAAGTTTATATTTTATTTATGCTTGTTTTTTAAAGTTAGCTACAGCTAGTTAGCCTTTGGCGTTCGTTGCAAAGTTTACTTACTGAACTGAGTTAAAGCGTATGGCTCGTCACTATCACTGCCAGCATGTGTGGTGT